ATCAGATGTGTTAGATTAGGGTTGGGGCTGAACTCTGCAGGGTGGGAGATCTCTAGGAGAAAGATTGAGCACCCGTGCCTTAGACACTCTGGGCTTAAACACGTCAGTGAGAATGGGCAAGACTAAGCTGCTGTAGACTGAATAGGTGTATACATAAAAATGTGTAAGTTGTGACATCACCAAAAATCTATTCAACATGGGCTGTATTTGTTAATTTTCATATAGACTGCAAAGGTTTGGGCACTCATGCTCAAATTACGCCTTATTGATTTTCTAAATGAAAGTGCACATCCTCTACAGGAAACACACTTCTGCACATTGTAATATAAATTACAGTTTATTTGTTGAATTTAACATGGGGGGGGGGTTATTTAATATTTTTTCCTGATATGTTAAATTTAGCAAATAAATTGAAAATGTACACCAAAATTTACAGAAAATGCCATATTTAAGTGTGTTCTCTGTAGAGGATGTTTTTAACATTGGTGGATGGTACGTTTTAAAACTTTTACATACTGTTTACATACAACATCAGATTCTTATTTAAAAAAAAAAAGGAGATTTCTTTTGTTGATGATATAGGCATGTGAATCGACGCATCAATGGAGAATATTTTCATAATTAGTCAGTTTCCACAGGAATATTACATCTCAACATAAAAATAAACACTACTGAACATAAAATACTGTTTTTGTTTTTTTTTTGTTTTTTTACTTAAGGTCAAAACACAAAAAACAGAGTCTAAACTTTAGTATTTGCAAAATATGCCCTGTCACATAAAAATGAGTGCACATAAATCTGGCCTTAGTCTGTTGAAGAATCATTTAGTTTTGGTCTGATGGCTTGAGTTAAAACTACCACACTAAAGCAAAGCCTGAAGGTACAGCCCCTAGAGCATTCATTAGCAACTAATGCACCAGAGAGAGAGGTTGAGCAGGCCCATTTCTCTCTTTCCTCTCTCTCTCTCTTCGCCAATCTGAGTGCGACTGCCTCACATTGTGCATCTGCTGGCTTTCTACAGCCCACTGCACATGAATGGTCCTGTCTAACCTTCATGCACACACTCACACACTCTCTGTCTCTCTCGCTGTGTCTACAGGAAGTCACACAATCCGTACATCGATGACATTCCGCTTGAGCTTTAATTAAGGACCTGTGAGGACAAATCAGCTCAGTAAGCCTGCTGTCTGACTTTCTGACGGTCTGTCTACTGATAGAGATTTGTCAGCATTCATTGTTGTTTCTTTGGCCCTCATGATTCCCTTATGAAAAAGATCTACAGTGTTACTATAGGAATTTCTACAGGATTCCTATGAGAAACTTATAGTAAATTCAGAAAAAGTTCTAATATTATACAAAAATTATAGATTACTATTACCACAATACAGTACAACAGGAATATTATACAGGAGTAAAAAAATACAGATTGTTACAGAAGCACTGCACAGCACTCCAGAAATTTTATAGTTTCTTTTAGGGCTGTCAAACGATTCAAATAATTAATTGGGATTCATCGCATTTATCTTATTTACAAAAATATGGTTGCAACTTTTTTACATGTGAAGCCTCTCGCTTTCGTTCATACAACTTGTGGATTCTTATTACAGTGGAGGCTCTCGAGGGGAACTGTAGTTTCCACTTTGCTATTGCCCTTGTTAATTTGCTGCTCGTTGATTTTTCCATAGTTCTCCTGTGAGCACTGTCCAATACAGTCTGCGTATTCTATCTTAGCAACACACTCATGTGCAGCTGGGCTTCAGTCTGCACTACTAGCAGCGTGGGCTTTACTTGGGCGCATCCCCACTGTATACGGATACTATATTTTCACGTTTCATGCCGTTTTAGCAAATTCCATGGAGAAAATATTATATTTTTTTTTTTATGAACTAACAATAGCACATTAGCACACTAATGCAAAGCGTCAGCCTTTTTCCCTGTGGTAATTTCCATGACCCAAACCTTCACTTTAACCAGGTCCAAGAGGCGCTTTGCATCTAAAAATGAAAAACATGGGAGGTTTAATATTCACTTATGCTCTCCCCTACTCTTGCTGCTCACCCCAGGTTTGTTTTAGACCAGTGTTGCAGAAACACTGGCTGTGTATGTTCAAAGAGTCAAACTAGGAAAATGTGTTAACTAGTGTTGCAGTACTCAAGCCCAGCCTTGGTCTTGTCTTGGTCTCAACATCATTTAGACTCTGTGTAGTGTCTGTCTGAGGTCACTGGAAACAGAACTTTATTTTTATCATTTCTGAATAACAACAATACCTTAACAGAATAAAACAGTCCTTCTCTATATGTTTAAATAAAATCTGTTCGAGCCGTTTGAGGATCTAATTCTTAAATGCTTTACTGATTCCGATTGATGGCTTAACTGGGTATTGTTTGTTTGTTGATGTTCACTGGCTCCAAAATTCAAACATCCCCCAAGGGCAGACGTGACTGTTATTATTACTATATTTTCATTTAATAATAACAATGGATGTATGTTGTTTGGTTTATATTCAGTTGACTTTAGGTGGTGATTCAGAGTAAGTTTTAGAGAAGAATAACCTCACAATCATTCACTTCCAAAAGTTACAAAGCAAGACCAATAAATAAGTTTGTAGGCTATATTACTTAGTGTTATCCTTTATAACTATTCACTATAAAATATAATATTACTTATTAAAAAAATATATATCATGTAAAATGAATGTTAATGAATGTACAATTAACTACAAGCAACAACAACCCAAGCTCAAATACTACAAAGTCTTGGCCTTGATTTGTCAAGGCCTCGGTCTTGATTCAGACTTACCTCTAATGGTCTTGACTACCACAACCAGCATTAACAGTGTTAAAAATGTGTTAATTTTTAATAGTTAATAGTATTAACAGTGTTAATATTTTTGCTTTTGATAACTTTAACATTTAAGCACTTTGTCTTTTTCCTTTTGATGATCATTTGGCCTAAATTTATGTAAAAAGCACACTGAATCGCCTTTGTGTATTAAATGTGCTATATAATTAAACTTTTCTTACATACTAACAGCACTAATTTCTCTTAATCTCATCATCTCTCAACCAGAAAACTACTAAAATAATACATGATCTGGAAAGATTTCAATAAACCAGCAAGGATATAATGTGGTAAAGGAATGGAAGCCTCACACAAAGCAAACACTAGGTAGGCGTGTGTATATCTACCAATTCGTGGGTGTGTGTGTGTGTGTGCATATGGCAGAGGGTTAGCATTAGGTGTGTGTGTGTGGGTGAAAGAGCATGCCAGCTTGTGTGTGTCCTGGCAGACAGAGTGCACTGTGTGTGTGTGTGTGTGTGCGTGTCAGAACTGGCAGGCACTGCGTATGAGGCACTCTGAGCCTAGGCCTCCTGTGTCAGCAGCACTGGGCTGTGGGGAAAGGCTGAGCTGTTGCGTCAGAGAGACAGAGAGAGAGAGAAAGAGAGAGAGACAGAGTGAGAGAGAGAGACATCGACAGACTACTCTATTGACACTAGAAGCAATCATTGCCTCCAGCAGGGGTGGTTAACAGTGTTTTCCCCTTTCTATTTTCACTTCATCCCGCCCCACCCCACCCCCCAACCCCCCATCCTCGCCGACTCCTCTCCTCTCTACCCCCTCCTACGAGCCCTCACCCACAAACAAGAACAAACATTCAGCCTAAAACGCAAAAACACACCACACATCCACCCCCACACTCTAACCAGTCAGAGTGCATGTTGTGGTATCCCTTGGCTGGCCTGACCCACATCTTGTTATAGCCTTAAGTATGCTTAGCCCCAGTAAGTCCTGAGCACACTGCTGCCACTCCTAATCAGCTGCTACCTGCCTGCAGCCCTCCAACTCAAGAGGAAACACTGAATCATTATTATTGAATGGTCTCTTTGCTCCTTTCTTTTTTGTCTCTCTTCATACCCGTCTGTCTGTATACCTGCACGGCTGGCTGTCTCCGGCTACCTCTTTAAGATGGACATTTCAGTTAATCCTGGGCTCCCTCAAAGGAAGTTAAATATTACACAGGAGGATGGCGCCTACCAGCCAGTATTCTCAATTGCACGTCTAAGCTCTCTCTCCACTTCTCTCCATTCTTTTCCTATCCTTATTTAGTTTTTTATCAAATTCATTTAATTCTCATTGGAAAATAAAGCAATTAAATCATGACTAACTGATTCCCACATTCTGCTGTTACCTCAAAACAATTTGACCACATATAGCTTGTCCTTGACCCTCCTTCAAACCATGCTAGTTGTCTCCCAGAAGCACAGATACTACACAACATAGACACCATACACATAACTCAGGTACTTAGGTTAATCATGTGTAGTATAGGTGTTTAAATACTGAAATGACTATGTGGTTATTTGTTTCATGTCATCCCGTTACGATGGAGAAAATACACAAGCCAACAATTCAGCGAAATGCCACTTGTATGTTTTAACAGGATTGTAATAAGTGGCAACTTTGTTCATATTTGCAAGTAAGTATATTATACTTTGGTGCTATAAATGAGATGCCTTGCTAAGGACATGCTGTCAATGGCATGAGTGAGGAGGCAGAGATGGTGTAACTTTATCGCTAACATGGCTAAATAAGTCACTCTAGCTAGTTCCAGATACAGTGAAAATATGTAAAACTGACAAGCTAACTGTTGGCACATCATCCACTGAGGAAAAGAGACGACCTGTAAGAAGATGACGAGTCTTCATCAGCATGCAGTATTGTACTGGTTAGCAATGTTAGCTCATTAGCTGGTCTGATGCAGTCTCTTTTACTCATCCAACACGAAAAACCTAGCAATTTCCCCCTGTTGCTTTCGAAAACTAAAACAGAATTTCCTCTGTGTGCTGTTAAGTTTTCAGGTGAGACAAGTGCAGTCACCTAAAAAGGTAAACCTACAGCCTGACCGCTGTTTACTTCCCAAGTTAACTGATCATCAATTCATTAATCATCAGTCAGAATGTTCATCCGTACAACATACAACTGAACCCTACAGATCTTACCTGTGACTCATAACACAAAAGCAGAGAATCCTCAAAAGCCATGGCCTGATCTTCTGCTTCCTCTTGTGGTTTCTCATCTTGTCTTGTGTTGGTCCAGGATCTGCTGGAGGTCTCCTCCTGAACAAAAGCTTCCAGCTGGGGCAACAACTCATCTTCCAGAAGATCATGTCCCTCACCAATCCCCTCAATCCCTTCATGCTGGTGCTCCAGCAAGGTCTCATCAAGGTCTTGAAAACCACTACTGTGTGCATCCTCTTCCTGTTGTGAGAAGCGACCGTTTGTGGTAGAAAAAGAGTCTAGGCCTTCTGAGAACATTTGAGCAGAACCGTAGGCATCCTGTGATGGCTTGGAGGGCTGAAGGGAACTGAAAGGGCACTCTTGTGGCTGGCTTCCAGGTACCTTGATCGGAGTTCTCTGACCTGACAAGAATGGACAGCTGGACTCCTGACCACCAAGATCAGAACCAGATGAGATGGCTGTGGTGGTTGTTGTTAAGGTGACTGGAGCAGCAGAGAGTGGCTGGGATGCATTGACCAAAGGAAGAGTTTGTCCAGGGAAGGAGTACTGAGACGAAGGATAGGACGAAGGCAGACTAGCTGAGGAGGAAGACAAGACATATGCTTCAGGGGAAGACTGCACGTGGAACCCCAGGTTATTGTCCTCCACTTCAGAGACGCCAGAGAACCCTTGTAACTCTTGACCTAGCTGATACCTATTTTGTTGCCGAGATGTTGCAGGAATGACTGGTACATCGTGGTAAGGCTTGGGCCGAGAATGAGAACCAGGATCAGCACCTGGATGAAAGGGACTCCCCTGTGAGTTCACTGAGCTATGGTGACCTTGATGGGATGGGACACTGCCATGATAGTAAAAGTTGGGATGTTCTTGATAGCTCTTGGTATGCTGGTGCAAAGTCTGGGTGTTAATCTGGTGCTGGGATGACAGTTGATGCTGAGTTAGTATTTGCTGGCTCTGTTGGAGATGTGACTGTTGTTGATTGTACCGATGTTGATGCTGTTGTTGACCATGACGAGGCTGAAGCTGCTGTTGAAATTGCTGCTGCTGATGCAGTTGCTGTTTAAGATGAAGTTGTTGATGCTGTTGATGCTGCAGTTGCTGATGGTGGTAGGCATTTACTCTCTGTTCCTCCCATATAGGGCTGTTATGGGAATATAGTCCGTTGGTCTGAGGTGCTTGATTCATGGATGACTCTTGAAAGTGGGACTGTTGGCTCATGAAAGGTCCTCCAACACCATTATCCCCTCCAGAGTTGTTAGTAAAGGACTGTGTCATTGAGGACTGGACCTTCATTCCATCAAACTGGCCCATCTGTTGACTGTAGTGTAATCCAGGTGGGTTGCCAGAGGGCACTGAATTTGCAACCATTCCAGGGTGTTTCTCAGCCACCACTGGATTTATCAGAGAAGCCTCAAACCCTGAGGTAAAATCCAACTCATCTGCCAAAGACACGGACCCAGAGCTGAAACAATCCTGGGCCAAGCCCTCAAAAAGATTTGGGTCACCAAAAAACTCCATTGTGGGATCGGTCACAAGTTCACTGCATAGAGACTTGGCTTCTATAGCAGGCTATATAAAAGGACAGCCAAGTGGAATGTGTTGGTGTAGAGTCTCATGGATCATATAACCACCATGTTTCCATTACATAGGTTCTGCAAAAGAGAAAAAAAGAGATAGAAAAAAATAAGTAAATTTAATAGAAGCTAATAGAAGCTCTAAGTTCGATCAGGGGTGCCCAAATTTCTTGTCTTAAAGGGCCAAAGTAAAATGTTTGTGGTTGGATGAAAAGACAAAACAATACACAAAAAAAGAAGCTAGGCAGATTTTAAAGGGTTTTTAACTCTAACATTAAGTTGTATTTAGTTAATGAAATACATCAAAAGAACTTAATACATTATACACAGAATAAAACATGGTCGTTCTCTCATTTAATGAGGAGGTGGGGGTACTGTAACTTTCTGATTGGCCAAATCAGACATTCTCATAGGCCAACTTTGACCCATGGGCCACACTTTGGGCAGACCTGAGCTAGATCACTTCAATTAGGTTAAATTACGTGTGATATCCCCATTTTCAATTGGGTTGAGAGTAGATTTGGGGAAAACCAATAAAATACATGTGTCATGAAAAATTACCATGATGCTAATTATCTCAATGTAACTTGCCAACAACATCGATCCAGTAATTTTATTTTTCTGTGAAAGTTATGAGAGAGCTCACTCTTGAATCACTACTGGCCTACACAGGAATCACTGGGAAAACCATCACTGAGTCACTTAAAAGTTCATAAACTTTCTTGTTAGGACTCAGCATTAGGTTCACCAGACCTAATGGATCAACACATTTCTTAAGTAACTATCTGAGTAGCTCAGAAGTCTTTAAATCTAGACAAAAGTGATTCATATCTCCTTATGTGTCTGATTTATCTGGCTATTTCTATTGCCATGCTGTGCATAGCATACCGATTTTCTAAGGTGCCTGCAGTTTTTTAGGTTAATCATAATAACTATAAAAAAATAACCTTAGGACCACATTTCATTTCCTCAGTCTAAAACATATCTCACAAATTAGTTCCATACTAGTTACATACTAATTCAAATAGTTATTTAATAATAAGACTTAAGATTGATAACTGGGTTAAGCGACTGGCATTTAAAATAAACTTTAAGCTACACCTCATGTTTCACTATTATTAATATGTTTTGTGAACAAACTCAACTAGTATATAACTGATGAACGTACAACTGTACGTCATAAATATCAGCTGAACACCTATAGTCCATTTCTTTAGATATACTGTCACATGCTAGGCCTTGTGGTGCTCTTCTGGGAGGTGCCACCAGCTGATGCATTTTCTTTCTTTCTCTCTCTCACTCTCTCTGACACACACACAAAGCACCAGCAGCCAAAGAGACAGACAGGCTGTCCTGACCAACACTGGCTGAGGCGGAGGTCAGTCACGACCTGCTGACTCACCACACACAAACACACACAAATGCACTGTCCAGCCCGAGTCCACCAAAAGCACTCACAGTTAATAGCCCTGATTTTTTTTGCTTCCTAGACTCTTCTCACTCACTGTAAAATCCCATGCAATGAAAATAAGACAAGGCCTAATAATAAACAAGACCTAAAACTCACACTCTATATGAAATTAGGTCCAGTCTCAAATATAGCTTACAGTTTCTCTCAATTCGCTGATCAGGCCTAATTTTCTAGCTTTTTTTTTAAATAATGATTCTTTCAAAACATCTTTCAAATAAACAAAAGACTGTTGCACTAAAAACTAAAGGTCATGGAACAATTCTGTGGGTGGTGTCCCTTACTCACTTCTAAGAAAAAAAAATGTCACAAAGGGTTCTGACAAACAGTTAACTGCCCATTCTGCTGAGTTAAACCCACTACGGACACTGGAAAACATACAAAACGCCTGTCAAATGAATAGGAAGCTAGCCGGTACTTTTGTTTTCTAAGACCTGTGCACCTATTTCAAACCAGGAAGCAAGTCAAAAACAAAGATTATCTGACAGCAGGTTAAACATTAGAATACGTGGACCTAGTTGGGAAGACACAGGCCTACGTACAGCCTTTAAATGTAGAGACAAATGGGTGCTTTCCTTGAAAACGTTCAAGGCCTGAATATACAACCAGGGTTGCTGACTAAAGCCGACTAAATCAGTTGTAGCATTCTTGGCCAATCAATATTCTGTTAGTGAATTGGATTCGTTTATTTCTTTATTTATGAATATCAAGTGTATTTCTTAGTGCTGTCAAAGTTAACACGTCAGCAATACACTAACGTAATAAATGGTTGATTCTACTAATATTTAACACATCATTGACACATGTTCCTAATTTCCCATCTGCAATTCCATGGATTGCGGGCTGTATGTTGCTGTAGTCCTGTCATTTAAATGTAGATTTTTAAAAGAAAGTTAAAATCATGGCTGTCTGATTAAAACCAATGTTATTTCCAGCTACTGCATTGGCGTGAATTTATCAACAAAGTAAGCTGAGTCCGAAGTTTTTCTATAAGCACTGACACAGTCATATTAGTACCATAAATTCTAGAGGACACCTTCAGCAGACTGTGCTACACAGAACTAAGGATAAATCAACACGCTGCAAACTAACAACAGCAACAGCAGAGCTGACAGCAAGTTACCCTTAAAACAAGACCCAGTGTAGCAGTATGAGTACAATCGTGGAGGAGTTGGAGCATGCAGCTATTGTTACTCTTACTGGATGTCAGTGATGAAAACTGAAAACTTTTTTATGATCACCCTGCGTTCAAATGATTAATGTTTATGTTCATGTGAACCCTGCATTTACATATACACTGCTTTTTAAATGCACACAAGTGCAAATAATTACAATTAACTACACAAAATAATGTGATTATGTTAATAATTTGTAGTAATTTCTGCAAACGTTTTTCTGAGCATAACGTTCATGTAAATCAGCTGTGAAACACTGCAGGGATCTGAGAGCGGAGCGAATGAAACACAAGCACTCGAAATTTGTGAAGACGATTCCAAGAAAGTGGACTGTTAAATCTGCAAACAGCGTTTTACTTACTACACTACAAATTCAAATATTGCACTATCATGTTAATTTGATGTCGGCCACACTTGAAAAGGAATTCCACCCATAGGAAACCACTATTTTACAATTATTAATATTACATATAATGTGTGTGGGCTACATATAAACATGTGTAGGTTAACTTGTTTGGATAGTAAATAAAGTGGCTACATTTTTGAACCTCTGTTTCTTAACACCACCACTGAAGTCTGTAGATTTCTCTAACATCAAACAACTCTCAGTGACTGAAAATTATTTGATCAAAATTCCACAAAGATGTAACAAATTTACTCAATACTATATCGCTGCTGTCGGAACAAAAAAAAAAGTTTTTCAGTTTCTGACATAATTTGAAAATGTCTGTTGTCTGTTTTATGATGAATGGACCAAAAGAAACGACCCAAAATGACTTGGAAAAAAGTCTGGTTCCATTGACTTCCATGAAAAGTAAAGCATGTTTTTTCCTTCTTCTGTAAAGTTACCATTTTGGAGATACAAGGTTTTGTTCTGACAGCAGCAATATATATAGCATGAAAATGTTTACAACAAACATGAAAATGTTTACAACATACAGCAAAATGAAAGCCCCCATTTAAGGTGCATGTGGCAATCCCAGCACTGATTTCATGCCATCAACATACTAATACAACGAATCACCTAGTGAAGTCAAGAGGAAAACCTCTGTCTCCAGCACGCAGGGGAATTCCTCCACAACACTGTAGACTCATATCAGAGAAGCAAAATGATGAGGAGGCTGCAGCCACGCACACTCACATTATCATTGTTAATGGCATTAACTTTCATAAAGCTACGTTTAACTCTGTATACACTCTCTAACAGGCCCATCGTTTTACTGCGGGGCATTTGCTGCTAAACGGACTGGTCAGAGCACAGAACAATTCCGTGGTATTCTGAGAGAATTTAGAGAAGAAAGGCACATTCATTGATTCTACGGCATCAGCTTTTTCTGTAATACATAATACTTGCCCTCATATGACCCCTAAATGTCATAGCCTGCTCCAGTGGACTGAAACTACATTCAAACAGCATTTTTGTATTATGTTCGATTCATGCCAAAACTTGACAAGTAACTGAAAGCTATATGATTCATCTTGATTCATTTCCAACCTGCTATGACTTCATTCCAACAATGATCTTCTCTGGATTTTTCTCTTTTAAACCATTTCTCACACCGTCAGTTTTAAGTCCTAATTTAACCTGCACCCAATTTACCTGTAGAATGAATCCAATAGCTTACACAAAGCCAAGAGAGTCATGTTTATTCTGTTAGTTTTGCAAATTAGACCACTTTACTATTTGATTGACAAGGCACCTGCCAGCACTCACTTCCCTGAATAACTCCAACTTTTACCCTTTAAAATATACTCTCATATTTTAAAACAACTGCTTGTATTTTAAGTCGGTTAAAACAAAGCAGAACTACGTTTATGTATGTTATGTTTATGTATGTGTGTCCTATGCATTGACTTCACCTTTATTTGGCAGCTGAGGTAAAAAAATTATGTTGAATCTAGATGTACAACGGCACAAGGATTTTCTTAAAGGTTATCATAAACACTGTTAGCAAAGAACAAACTGTAAACTATTCCCTTTTTTCAATGCTGCACTTCATTTTCATAGGTTCATAAGTTTCACAATTAATAAGTGACAGAAAAGATGAAATAGAAGATTCAAACTCAATGAATGTAGTTTTTTGTAAACGTGTAATGCCTTTTACTGTAAGTAGTGTTTGCTTTAACACTGTATTTCTTGCTTGTCTTTATTTTTCATAAAATGCTTTGCTTTTATTAAACTCTTGATTTTATTTTTTAGTAGACAGACATAGTAAAACTACACATGGTCATCTGCTTTAATGTGAGGTTAACAAACTGGTGTGTGTCACTTGAATGTGTGCTGATGCTTTGCACCTGGCTTAGCCTACACTGTAATCTAGTGAATGTATCTGTCAAACTTCAGGAAAAATAAGCAACCCACAACCAAACCTTCGCATAATTTTTGCTGTCAGACTTTCTCTTGTTTTACAGAGATGTAATACTGAGATTACGCTGAAATAGTACAAGAATAGGCCCACCGGAAAATGTACTTTCCAGAAGTTCACTAATTAACAAACGGCCTATGCAAATAGACTATCTGTTAAGTCCCTGAAAAAAGTGCCTTATATGGATAGAATAACGCTTCCCTTTTTAGTTTACTAGAATATTCAAGAATAGTATTTGAGACTTTAGAATGGCACACCAAACAAAACCAAACAAGCATCACAAATCTAATCCATTAGCCACAAGCTAATATGTTAGCACTGAGCTAGCACACTAGCCACGACGTAATGATACAAATATGTATTCTTACACCCCTACAAGACTCTACAATCAGTAAATTCGTTATATACAATACTTAAATGTAAACATGAACACTATGCACATGGTAAGTACAGCCTACATCAATGGTTACTAAGCCATGGTACATTTCTTCGTTCTGCTAAGTGATCTGTGCACAAACTGGGTTCAACTGGGAGTTTCAATACTTTCTGAATAAATAATACAGTATTTTTAAGCAGCACTGCACATCCCAAGCTCATACCTTTTGTCTTACAGCCTTTTTTTAATAGCGGGGCCTGCTCTTTTGCCAATGGATCTGCGTAAATCCAGTAACTTGTACAATCTCAAAACACTTTTTAGATGAGTATAGGCTTTAAGATTAGCCTAAAATTGCTCATATTAGAACATTTTTTGGCATCTTATGTAAGCTACTTCAACAACCTTGCTCTGAGATACTTCACACTTGCGCCACACCAGTTCACAAATTTCTGTTGTGAGAGATGCAGACTCATTCATCTACAATTCTGACTCATTCTGAAACTTGGTAGAGATGGCCTTCTGCCACTGACCTGATCTGAGACCAGGTTTTATTTTTGTTGAGCACGGTCAGGGATGTGTCAGGGGGTTTAGGAGAAGCTGATCTGAAACCAAAGCTCATTCATTCTCCCACAGTGCGCGCATACTTAAACCAGAGGAACAGGTGGCAGGCTGGCAACTGCACTTTCAAAGACACTCAGATGTAAAGTGGGACAAAAAGAAGAGTCACTGCAGAAAAGGGGTTTCTTTTCACCCTTTAGTGCCACTTGAAGATGAGTTTCCTATAGAAATAGTTCATGCTGCAGGCTTGAGCCTCACAGTAATGTTTAGGGCAAAGCTGCTCTGTAATTCTAGATAAGTGGCTGAGGACACAGGGAACTGAATAATGGCACATGTCCATCTACTCACAAAAGAAAACCTAAAAAACTCAAAAACAGAAAACTTTTAGAGTTGGGCTGGTTACCATATTGTATTGGTACTGTGATAAATCACACCAGAATAAATTTTTCTGAGCATATCATGGATATCGTCAGTACTTAAAGAACATTGACCAACACAGGTATCATTACAGAGAGAGCATACTTAGTAGGGATGCACTGCAATGGGAATTGCAGGCTGATGCTGACATCCGATATTTTTCATGTGCGTTTCTGCTGATATCCATGTTTATAAATGTAGAAATTTTCCCTGGATTAGCATCACAGAGAAACATATCATGATATGTATCATGCGTCATGAAACATCTTCATGTATTGTGATCTAAGTAATATTTGCCATATCGTGCATCTCACTGCAAAGGAGTCACAGAGTAAGCTGCTGGTACAGGGTTTCCTCAATCAAATAACTACAAGAATCAAACAACTGCTGTCATCAACAGGTTAATCACTGTTACATTCTCGAGATGATTAAGTCAACTATCTTGGAGATCCTGTGGTTCCACCAGCTACACACACAGCTATATGACATTTTGTAGATGAGCAACATACAAACATTGTGTGTGCATGTGTGTGTGTGTAGGGGGGGAGAAACCCAGGAGATTTTACTACCTGACTCACGGAGCTAACGGAAATAATATTGCCTACAGTAACCTTTCTACTACGGGTGGGTGATATGGCAAAAAATGTATCATATTCAGCACATTACAAGATGCGTTTAGGTGCCTGACACACTGTTTTATTATAGTTTTGTGATAAACTTTCAGCTTGTAATTTATTTCAGTCCATATATTTTAATCCATTCATGGCGAAAGGGTACATGCAGGGCATTGTAAGGTAACAATAAAACATCTTTTTTCAGATTCATGACTATTTTACAATCATCAACATTACACATAAAAACTCAGAAGACACGTGTGTGTTCACGGGGATTTTGGATAGTAAATAAAATGGCTATATTTGTTTTGTAGACATGGCGACCCCTGGTTCCTATCACCATCTCTGTCCTCTGAGTATGTTTCTCTAAAATGAACCACTTCATATCAAACCACTCTGAATGACTGTTTACATTTCAAGGACTGAATTATTCAGATAATTTTTGGTGGAATTCCCCTTTCAACTTTCAATATATGATGATATCCATGACATCTTTGCCTAGAGAAGCGGACTGTCGATCACGATACCAATATTTATCGCGAAAACGGTAAAACTGTGCTATTGCCCACCACTGCTCTCTACCCCAGCTTTCTAACATTTAATACCCTCAAAGCGTGTTTCATTTAAAGTAAGCTATCTGTCGTGTCTGGTTTTGAAGTAGTAACAGCAGCGAAAAGCTCACTGTGCTGAATAACGCAGCTCTTCCAGCAACAGGTTGGCTGCCGTGAACTCGCTCAGGTTTCGCCGCTCTCCAGCGCTTCCTGCTCGGCCAGGAGGCTTTAGGGTCTCTCATCTGTTTATCGCTCGTCCTCCGACAGCGCATCGTATCGCAAACCAGTCGGTACCTGCTGCTCCGAGACCAGCGCGCACCATATGAGGCGCGGACTGTTAAAAGCGCCGTATGTTGGCTATGTTGACCGGGGGGCTAAAAAGAAGGAGCCGGAGTGCCAGGCTTTTTCACCCCGGGGTTAAAGGGGCTGGTGGGTGGAGTGGGGGCTTAGGAGAGGGGACTGTGCACGACCACGCCAACACCGCTTGTCACGATTACCACATTTTACAACATCACGACTCCAGTGCTGAGGCAAATCTGCTGAAGGATATTTTCTGACACTGCACCTGTGGGCTAGAGGTGGGCGATGTGCTAAAAATATTACATCGCGATACTTCAAGGCATTTTCACAATACATGGTACACGACATTTATTTTTTCAGACATCTGATCAGTCGGAACAGACGACAGTAGTGCCACCTTTAAAAAATCAAAAACTGTTAATATGATGATTTTTATTCAATATTTTGCATAAGTTACTGTGTGGCACTAAATCCAGATGAACAGGATTTATTCTGCTCTCTTTGAAATAAAACAGGCAGTTGGTCAGTTTTCTACAAGTACTGACGATGCACAATACGTACATATTTGTATTATGGAATAATTTATCACGAAAACGATATATTGTCACACTGCCCAGCCCGACTAAAGGCTGTGCGTTAACCTGTTGATTGGCTTGTTGTATGTAAGCCAAGCTAATAATAATACAACAGTTAAACGCATTAGATCACGTTTAAAATCGCATACATCAACCCTCGTCTAGTTCAGAGACCTTTACAGCAAAGTTAGCTTTAGTTATCAGGCCTGCTAGCAGCATCCCGAGCATTAGATATCTGAACCCTGACGACACTGTCCATCACCGAGGTGCGTGTTCAGCACTCATCTTCACCATTTCCACGGTTTATGTGGGCGAATAGGACACTGACAGCCCACATACAGTCTCGATGAAGTTTCTAGTTTCAGAATTTAGCATTTTGGTGAATCTGGGTGAAATAAAAGATATACGTTACGTCAAACTGACCCCAACACACTTTCATTCTTTCTTGGCGAACTTACGTACACCTTGACGGAGAAAACGCGCTCGCAGAAGTCAGAAAAAGACCCCCGCACAGTCGATGCATCGCAGCGTTTCCTCCACGTTCACCGTTAGACAGACAGGCAGACAGACGGGGCGAGTTTCCCCCACTGACAAAGTCGCTGTTAGTTCAGAACCACACAGGCAGAATTATCTACTTTTACACCGCCGGCTTTAACTCATGGAGTACTCGGCTTAAAATAAAACAGACACTGTGACTACTAAACAACTAATATCGTTATTATGCTGTATTTTCCTCCATTTCACTTTTCTACCAGGGATTCCCTACAACCAGCTGCACGTCACGGCGTCTCTCTCTCTCTCACCCTCTCTCTATCTCTCTCTCACCGGACTGACTGACAGCCAGCCGGCCACCTGAGTTTCAGCACTGTTTGTTCACGTTTGCCACTTTCTACGACGTCGTTTCGTCAGCGAAAAGAAACACGAGTACTTACCAAAGTGAAGGAAACCCCCCGGTGACAGGACGGTAATTTTACAGAGGACTAAAATATCGATTTTTTTAGTAGTTTATATCGCTGTTGGCGACCTCAGCGGTTCCACCAGTGCTGACGTGATGATGATAACACGCTCATTTGCATGCATGTGACGAGCTCTCTGATTGGTCCGCTCAGACTTCTTTCACTTTGAATTTCCCAGAGACGTTTTGAATTTCATAAGCCCCGTATGGTCTCCTTCTCTATCTGTCTCACTCTGTACTCATCCATGACCGTCATTGAGTTTGATTAGAGGGAAATACGGACTTTTGGAAAGGTCTAACAAGATGGCCGCGTCGAGAAACAGCCAATCAAAAACGGTTTTACTTACCGAGCTCCACCGCTAGTGGCGGCAAGACCGTGCAAACGGGAGAGCGGCCGTTAGAGCCGCTGGTGTGTGAGGACCTCTGCCGGACACTCTCAGCAGCGCTTTCTCTTTAGCTCTGAAGCGCCTGTTTACAGAACGGCTGAGCAGTGAGTTCAGAAGCTTATACCACTCTATTTCTGACCCTTATGTCATTTCTTTTTCTTGAAGGGGATTTTCACCGATTTCTATTGAAGCCCATTCCCGCCACTTAAAAATCCAGCACCTAATAATTCTCACAGTTATGAGAAAGCATTTCAGAATAATGAAATATCTCAAAATAATGACTTCTCATCTCAAAATGAGATCTCAAAATGAAATATCTCAAAATAATGACTTAGCATCTCAAGATGAAGATATCTCAAAATGATGATTTAGCATCTCAAAATAATGAGATAATATCTTAAAATAACGACTTAGTATCACAAAATAACGGAATAGCGATTCACATGCCAAATAACCTATAATTAACCATAATTATGTTATTTTTTAGGTGGCAGGAATGGGCCTCCATAGATTTCTCTACATTTCTGCACTATTATATCAGTGAGATGTAAACAAACACATTCAGAGCAGTTTGCTGTGAAATGCACTGGTGACTCAGTTTTCTTTACAATAGCACCAATAGGAACCAGGGATCATGATGTCTAACACAAATATAGATAGCCATTTTATTTACTATCCAAAAGGATCAGTGAACCTACACGTGTCTTCTGTGTTTTTATTGGTCATACTAATGACTTCAAAATAGTGGTAAATCTAGAAAAAAAAAAAATTGGGGCTCCCTTTTTTAATTTACGACACCCTGCATGTACCTCTCAACCTGGCATGTATGTTAAAACATGTTTTGTCTCAAAACTATCACAGCTACTAGAGATCAGGTAGCATATTTGTAACCACTCCATATAATAGCTTTCTGTGTTATAGTTTTTAGAGTCTCTAAACACTTCAGATGTCTGGCTCCTATCACCACCTCTGTGAAATATTCGTAATTTTTCTTTCTCAGTTTCTAGAACGGATCATTTCACATCAAACCTTTGCATCTTCATTTCTCATCATTTCACTACACAGAGATTTTGATCTATTTTTCTGAAATAAGCTGTTATCATTTCATTTTTTATTCACCTAATTATAACAATCATATTAAATTATTAAAATATTAAATGTTACATACTAAATGTTTTTGGTCACACGGGCCCACTTATTATTACCAAAACAATAGAAAAATCAAATTTCATTGTGCACAAATGTATGAAAATGACATGTAATAATAAAAAAAAATGTAGATGTTCATCTACAAATTCTGTGGCATTAAAAAAAATGATATTAAATATAGTTGTTGGACACAAATGTGTTAAGAATCTAAGCAGCAATTATATCATACCAGTGTTATGAAACTGCAGCCTAATGTGAACTACAACTATTGTTGCAGCCATTTCAAACAAAAACACATCATAATAAAGAAAAGAAATTTGATTCAAGTGTATTTAATCGCAGTTTCCACACTAACAAATTCATAACCATAAACTTCAAAAAGTTGAGGCTTCACCCCTTCACACTCATCCAAAAAGGCATCATTCTTAAAGATTATTCTGATGACTGCAGGACAAATAGAAAAAACAAAATGATGTACATTCAGTTATCAGGGGTTCAAAGACAAGCTATCAGGAAATTCTAGCCAAGAACTGACAAACGTGGAGCAAAATGAAAGCTACTGTTTATATTATCAAATTTTTATATATTTGAAGGGATCGCAAGTTTTGTCCATAATGTGTACATGGTGCGATTTTACACCCCAAAACCTATGAAACTGTAATTTCAAATTTATTGGCTTTAAGATAACAGCATTTTAAAACCTCACTGTTCACACAGTCCAAGCTTCATGTCAGTGAGAAGGGGAACACAGGAGAAGAGAAGGTGAGAGAGGAAGTGAACAAAATGTATCACACACCATCTTCCGAAATTCTGGGGGGGAATCTTAAACAAAGCTTTCACCATTTTATATTCATATATAAATAAACCAGTGGTTTTTAGTTGACCTCTGATGGAGAGGCTTTCCATTTCCACAAAAAGCTTCACTATTTACATATGAAATACCTTCAGCCATTCGTTAAGACATTCCAAACAAATTCTGAAAAGACAAATTATGTATAACTTATTGTCTTCATTAAAAATGGTATTCCCCTTAATCTGTAATATATATTAAAACTATTTAATACACAGAATGCTTTATTACACAAAAGTAGGAGAAATAAAAAGAAAAAATAATAAAAATAAGAAACCCCAAAGCACTCAAAAATAAATGTAGTGTTAACTAGTTTCTCAGTTCAAAAAAAGTCTGGATCAGAATGAAAATAACAACCGTATGCAAGAATGTGCATGTTTACAAAAACCATTGTGAAAATTAAAGGCCCAGTTTTAACCCCAAAAATCATGAGGAAACCCAAGTTTGGATCCAAGCTTCATGTTCCACCAATTTATAGCAATTTATGACAAGCACCTGACCTAGTGTGGTCTTACCATTAGGTCAGATATCTTTATTAGAAGTTCTATTGATAGTTTTCTAGGCTGTTTTGAATAGAACTATCTGGGGGACTAACTATTCCAGCCTTAGAACAGACACTGTATTAAGAGATCAAAGAATTACTGTGATGTCTAAACCTCTCACTGGTGAAAGAAAAAGGTTGGATCTTTACAAACCTAGCAATTAAAACTGCCCAGTTATAAGCCACAATGCTGCTCAATCTAAAGCCACCTGAACATTCTTTATGAATTTTACTGCAAAGAACCATTGTTTCTACAAAAAAACCAAAAACCCTTCCACAATATTGTGAGGTGGTCTGTTGCGCCTTAAGAAAATATAAAAGAAAAAGCAAAAAGTATATGTGCAAGTCACAATGTTGTCTAAAGAAAACAAACTCTATGCAATTTGATTGCATTTCTGCCTTGGCATGATGACTACGACATCCACTCGGGTCTATACCAGAGAAGCACAAGCTTGTTTTCAAGATGTAAAGCTGTTTCAGCAGAGGTCTAGAATAAATTTGTTTAAAGCTGAGCAAGTGGGTTTTGCAAAATGAGAAGTCCATGGAACTGCTTCGAGTCTTAGAGATGAGGGGGCAAGCCACGAAGTGCGAGTGGCGTGAATATAGCTCAGCAACGCCTACAGTGGCCAGCGACTGGTACTACAGGCTCAAGTCTGCAGGGGGTACTCCTCTTTGCTGAATGGCTGTGTGGATCCAGGTTTCACCCAAGACAGTCCCGACACCTGCAGCCCTTTTGGGAGATCCTCAGGCCGTCTCTGTGACAAAATAAGGAATTAGGGTCAAGGATTATGGGAAGCTTGATTTCCTAAAAGTAGCAAGAACAGTTATGCAGTAGAGATCACGCTGTCCATCAAACATTGAGTTTACTTAGAAAAGAACTTTTGTATGAACTTAAGTCTAGACAGGAACAGGTTTTTACATAAGCACAGCTAACAAAAATGCTTAAAAACAGCATGCATCAGGAGTCAGGAAGAAGCCAGTTTTTACTTGGTCTCGGGAGGTGCACGGGAGCGTCAAGCACTCACTTTGTGTGTGAACATCTTCTCTTTCGCCTCTTCATGCACAGCTGGGTTCCATGGAGAGAAGCTGGAAAGGACAAATGACAAATAAGAAAAATAAAAATTTATTACCCTGCTACAGCCTGACCTACATTTACCCCAGTCTACGCTTTTAAGTAGACTTAAACCCCAGGAACCAATGCTACGCCACTAAATACAGCAAAATGTAAATTAACCATGTAAGTGAACTCCTAGGTAGGGTGACATTTTGCCATTCTTTTTTCCTGGATGAAAGTAGAGGTTTCCAATTCAGGTCATTAAGTACCACTGCCTTACATAATTTAGCATTTTCCTTACTCTAACAAAACCAGTTCAACTTAGGACAGACGTGTTAACATGCTAACTAGTTGAATCAAGTGTGTCGAAGCAAGGAAAACAGCTGAGAGCTGAGTTACACAAGCACCAGGATTGAGAAACACTAGGATACACTAGGATAAACCATGCACATTTCAGTTCAAAAATAGCTTTCATAACCTTGCAAGATATGACAGATCAAATGAAAAGCTATTTACAGCAGCTTTATCATGGAAAATTAACAGAGTCAGAGGAAAGGCACAGCACGATCATTCCATGGAAAGGGTACCATTTTAGTCCACAATGTTCAATGCCTTGTATAAAAGACCGAAATCTGCCATATACAAGTTCATCTTATAAATAATGTATTATTACATTAGGTGACATGATGAAGGGAAAAAATGACATTCAAGTCCCCAGAGGAGCAACATTTAAAATACTTCCTTTTCCTTAGGAGTGGAAAGAGTAAAATCCCTTCTTACGTAAAAGTACTGTTACTATAGTGATATTTTACTTGAGTAAAAGTGTTAGTAAAGAAAATTACTCAAGTAAGAGTAAACAGTTTCTTGGAAAACTACTTGAGTAATACTTTGTCCACAATCACACCCTGAAAATATTCCTGAGTTGACTTTGCTGATATGTGATTCTGAGAGCTGAGACTGATCATAGTATGTTCCACTAGTGCACATTTACATGTTTCTGTGAACTGTGCAAGGAACAAGGTTTTACATTAAACTACATGCATTTCATGGTTAGATGATTCTATAAGGCTTCCTAGTTTATCTGTTTCCAATTAAATACTTTAAAATCCCTGAAAGGCTGCACAGTTTTTCACTTTAATTAATATAACTGATACATTTATTAAAAAATGTAATTTTTTAGTGAAAGTCCTACTGCTCATCAGCTCTTTGAACATTTGCTTACATTAATAGGTGTCAATCTCTACAAAGACTACACCTTATATTCACAGCCTTCAAACTGTATAAATGAAATGACACCTGTATAGTATATTTCTACCATTAATAGAAAAGAATGACCTGGCAGAATAAAGTTTCTGATGTAGTATTATCTGTAAGGTGAGATTGAGCAGTGAATGTATTTTTGCAAATGCATTTTTAAGTGAAAGCCCAGACATGCAGCCAAAACTGTACAGTTTTTTCTACAATCAGACCGATCAATGATCTCAATATTATAGCACAACACCTTTGAGGGATGCCCTGGTGTCTCTGAGGGCTCTTTTAAATACTGTGAGGGGAGCTCTGTTTAATCTGTGTACAGCATGCATGCAGCAAAAGAACTTCACACCCCACCCACAATCTGATCAGATTAGGCTAGTAAGCTTTAAAATGAATTAAATAAATAAATTGCAGCATGACTGAATTGTTGTCCAGAGTTTATGGGAAAGCTGTATTAGACCCGTATCACAGTCGTATATGGCTGTTTTAAACAGTGACTAAACTAAGTTATATTTTAAATGGCCAAACCCCAGACTATGCGTTGATACCTGTTAACTGAAGTAGCACGCTAACAGTTAGTTGTAATAAAATATATGCAGCAGATTTTAAGCGTAAATAAATAGATACATAAAAGTAAGAAGACAATAGAAAACGCAGTACCAGTTCAGCTATGATTAGCTACCTGAGCAGATGCTCCCTCAGGCTGGAGTTGTGAAAAACAGATCTCTGCAGGTTTTGTGTTTAGTCCCTGATAACACTGTTTTCTTAGCTCATTTGTATACAAATATAGATGACCATTTGGATAAAGTCTGTTACTCATGCATGCTGGTCTCTTTTTCTTTCTGTCTCCAGACTGGATGTCTCTGTAGTGTTTTTGCAGCTGGGAGCTGCTCTATTTTGAATCTTTTACATTTAACCAGTCTGTGTACAGCTTACTTGTTATTTATTCTAATTGGTTTAATCTGAGTTGATATGCTTGTAATTTATTTTTACTTTATAACTTTTTTTTAAAGTACAGTAACACAAGTAAATTCGTTACTTTCCACCTCTGATTTAGCTTTTCTTTAACATTGATAATTTGTTTTTTTCTTCTTATTTGGCATGGTTCGTTAAGCTTTCCATCCTGTCACAGAAAATAGGCAGAGAAAACATTTATTTTTTAATACATTTTTGCATATAATTTGCATAATACATTCACAGGAAGGTCAGGTAATTTACTGTGGAAAGACTCATGTTAAAAGATCTAAGCTTAGTAACAGGCAGCCTGAAATAGTCCATCCACTCATATTCACTTCCGTTCAGTGTAATGGGGCTACATAGCTATTTTGCACAAAAATGTAATACAACGGCAACTGAGGTGTAAAACAATCTGTTTTTGGTTAAGCAGCATATACAATTAAACCTAGCGCACTGATTTCTTGAAACGGGGGAAAAACAAATTATAATGTCCATTTGGCACCAAGCTCATGGAATGAATCAGGAAACTAATTATGAATGGCCTAAAGGCCTACACGTTAGTTACAACTTTTTGATTATACTTGCCTTATTGCATAAGGATCATCTATCTTGGGTTGGTCAAAAAGGTGGCTGTTGCATAGTTTCACACTGTCAACCACCTTACTTTTGAAGAGCTGAATGTCCTTGTCATATCTGTAAACAAAGAAAACAACAAGTTATCAGGCAGAAACAAACAAGTATGTAGTAGTCTTAACATTCACATGTCAGGCATCTGGGGCCTCATACAGCCAAAACAATGACATCACTTTAATAACGACAGGGCTCAGCTACAAACATCATCTGACTATTTCTAACCTATAGCCTCGCAGAGCCAGACGTGTTCCTGTATCAAGAATACACATCTAGGGACAACTATGACAATTTGTGTGCTAAATGTGAAGGTGGGAACAAACAGTGTGAAAATTCTAAACAAATCCATAGCAGAGCACGATGATGCGCTCATTAACATTGTCCGACAGACAAAAAGCCTGGAGTTAGACCTATGACTGTAACAGAAGTTATCATCGCTGAAGCTTGGCCCCCAAAAACTTCAATTAAGCATGCAGATGTCTGTTGCTTGTCTGGAGAACACATTACATGCAGTAAAAAACACAACCTCTTGTAATGAAATGTTCTGTTCAACCACACTATTCATTAGCTTTAGGAGATATCCAGTAATATAAGGTGACAACGGTTTACCAGCAGCTGTATAATGCTTGTGTCAATCACAGTTGCGACTATATAGATGGAGTAAAAGTGATGTCGAAAGAATTGGCAGCTATGTTCCAGAAAAAAGAAGCTCTCACGTTTGTAGCAGTTAAACGACATGCCACATATATATATATATATATATATATATATATATATATATATATATATATATATATATATATATAAAAAACACACACACACACACACACACACACACACACACACTCACACACACTCACACACACTCAATCCGACCAATGGCATGAACTTTATCCACAGCTATTCCAACAAGCTGCTGACAGAATAAGTCCAAATGGTCCATTTCTGCACCGTGACCTGCATATGCAGCTGGAATCCCCTTTGCATTTTGGTCAGTATTGGACATATAACCAAGACAATCAATTTTTGTGTTTTAAACATATAGTTGTACACAGCTGGGCAGGTCTGGTAAACTGGACTTTTAATCTCTTTCCTCTTAAAATAATCTCTACCAACATTTAAACTGGTTTCACTGAATAGATTTTGCACATTGAGGACACCTTTTGAAAACCTAAACTAAATGGCATATCTAAAACATTAATTTTGAAGAATGAACGTGACCTAATAATTGCATTTCGCTAGCTAGCTTGCTTTGCCTGTGTTCCTGACGATTGTACTCCAGAAAATAAAAGAGCATGTACCTGAAGGATTTGGGAGTGGATTTTAGAAGGGGCATACCCTTGTTTGCGGAAGATTTTGCAGCAATCCAGCACCAAAAGTTTAACAAGCTGTCCCCAGACAGATACACAAGCTGTCCCCAGACAGATACAAGATAACATTTAGCTCTGCAAGACTATCTAATCTACAGGGAGATTCACTCGAAAGAGGCCCCGAATATTCTGTAATAACTCTTGCTAGGACGAAGCAATCTGAACGAAACAAGTTAATTGTGCTCCTCAGTATATGGAGCTTCAAACAAGCTGGGATGCCCCTGTGACAGAGCGATGAGGTAGGCACCGGACCATCGTTGCAACGCTTAACCTCCGTTTGCAACTTCCATGTGCACACCCCGTACCCCTTCACTCAGTCACTCATCAGGATGGTGGTGTACAGTATCGAGCAGCGCGTCAAGGTATGTTGCGTATATTTTTTATTCAGACTGCTTCATCCTAACGAGAGTTACAACAGAATATTTGAGGCCTCTTTTGAGTGAATCTTCCTGTACAACAGCACAAGGCATTTAAAAAAAAATTCCAAAAGTTTTACCAAGCCCGCTTTTATGTCACTTATAAGCAATGTGTTAATGTACCATCATATCAACAAGCGCATCCACACACACCCACCCACACACACACTTACAGTACAGCAGCCTCTGGGTTGAGTGGTTCCATGGTATTAATCTTGTAGAAGACCGTACGTGCATACATCAGCACCTGCCAGATGTGGTTATGGTTCCGTCTGCAGAAGTGAGAGACCCTGTGACTAGCTTAGTTACAGTTACATTTAAAAAATAAATTAATGAATGCTTGCAAATGATGGATGGTCATAGGATGGATGATCATAATTAAGAATAGCTATTAGAAGACTTAATGCCATTTGCAACCCTACAAGGAGCCTGTTGTGCTCGTACAAAAAAAAAAATATATATATATATACACATACATACATACATACATATACACACACACACATATATATATATATATATATATATATATATATAAAAAAAAGACTACCTTTCGGTAATAATGTCTGTTGTAATTGCCCAGTGTAGTTCAAATGCTTTTCTTACTGCTCTGGACTGCTTGCTACCCTGCTTTTCACCGCATTTATTTCTGAAAATAAACGACAGCGTGCCGGCAAACAAGCCATTCTTCTGCCGCACAGAGAAACTTAAAACTGCAGCAGGCATTAAAAATAATACGGCTGAGTTTAACAAATGCTTGGGCGTAAAACGGCTACTGATGCGGTTGAAAAGACTTTTATTTCCTCTGCTTTCCTGCACTGTTCATCACTGACAGGTTTAAACAGGTCTCAGGAACCTGGTCAGGGTTACCAGATTGTTCAGCATTCCTCAAAATAGCATTTTATGGTACTAGCTATGACAACAATTGTTTATAAGTGATGCTTTTCTATTGTCCTGTAGTATTTCAAGTTTCATTAATAATAATAATAATAATAATAATGACAATAAATCATCATTTTGTCGTTAAAATCTTGAGATTTCCCAGTTCTTTTAGAAAAAATCATATACTATGGATAATATTTGCTAGAAAAATCATGCTTCCATCAGCAGTAAACAGTAACGGTTTATTAACCAATGATCAAAATGCATTAGCCTTCTTCACTGACCTCCACTTGGTGAATACTCTCCTCACATCTAGCTCTCCAGAAACAGGGTCCACCAGCGGGTGAAAGACCGGGATATCAAACACCACTCTCTGCCAGAGAAAGGCACAGTCACACATGTTTTACCTCCTAAAAAAGTCCCTAGTTAAAAAGACTCAACTTTCTTTAAAAACTCTGTTCCTCGGCTGCCTTAAGGAAGACACCCAGAAATCCTTATAATGGGGGAAAAAGGCTATGTGTTCTGGAAATATGCCTGTCTATTGCACCTTGGGCTGTTTTGCAAAGTTTAAGATTGTCTTGATTTTTCAATAGCATAGCAATAGAAATAGACAGCATCGCTGTTCAGGCAAAAGGAGAAATACGGTCACTATTCAGTATGAAGTCAATGTAAGCTGCATTTGTGCAGTGAAACTACTGTACTCACAGGACATTCTCCATCTGGGTAGTTATCAGGAATGTACACGGTGAATTTAAAAACGCCGTCCTGATACAAGCCATGGCGAATGAAAATCACACCAAACCACACTGATGAGAGAGAGAGAGAGAGAGAAAGAGAGCGCGAGAGAGAGCGCGAGAGAGAGAGAGAGAGAGAGAGAGAGAGAGAGAGAGCGAGCGAGAGAGAGAGAGAGAGAGAGAGAGAGCTCACTATAAAATAAAATATGTGCTGCCCTGTTTTTGCCCCTTACCCCGCACATGTTAGTGCTTTCCTGCTGTAGTACACCCAATTCTAATGAGTTAATTAGCTGCATCAGGTGTGTTGGGAGAAGGGTAAAAGCTAAAATGTGCCACTGGTGTAGAACAGTACTTCAAGAAAGCCTCATTTTAAAGTGTATATGAATATGGACAAAGGCATACGAAACTACTACTACTATCACCACCACCATTAATACTTTCCACAGTAAGTAATGAATTATGCATAAATTATGTTACATTTAAAAACTGCAACTGGTACTTCCTGAACATTTTTTAAAACATTTTCTTTACTGATACTGCATCTGCCTTGGTGAGATGCTGGTATAAAAAGAATTTCAGCAACACAGTGAAATTCCCCAACAAGCCCTTAGGTGAGCAGTGCAGACATTGTGTACTCTTACTCAAGGCTGATCTGTAGGAGGGCTGAACGTAGATGCCCGGGAGTTTCTGCTTTATCACCAGTGTACTGCAAAACAGACCAAAGTCATCATGTCAGTGTCAACTGAGAGAATATGCTCATCTTACACTAGTTATTGTAACAGCATGGAGCTAATTAATGCATTTTGATCACTGAAGTCTGAAAAAAACTCCACGACACCCCTGAAAGAACTCAAACATCACGTACAACTCAGCAAGCAGGGAATACTCCAGGTAAAAGGGTCCATAGGAGGCGTGTGTGCCGTTGGTGGCTTGAGCGGCAGAAGCTGGTGATGATGGTTTAGTGATGGGCACTGCATTTTTAGGGATGGAGGGCAGCTGCTTCTTCCCAAAGGGAGGTCGAACTGGGCTGGCTTTCTGCTCACCTGGACCACCCTGCTCCTCACTGTCAGATCTCTAAACAAACAAAACAGAGAAGTAAAAAGTTAGAATCTCCAGTGGAAATCTTTGGCCTGCAGCTATACAACTGGTTTCCATATCTGGTGTTGAAGTACCTGCTGTAAAGCGTGCTTTTACAGTTGGCAAAATTTGTGATAATGAATTTGCATCAGTTCCACTGCCACATGACCCATAACGTACCTGTGCTGAATTTGGAAGCCCTTATTGCAGGTGTACCAAGTGCATTGAAACAGGACTAATGCCAAAAGGCACAAACCAAAACATCTTAGTACTATTTTTAATTTGACCCAAAAAAAAAAACAAAAAAAAACCAAACACAACAAACCAAACAAACAGACGACAAGTAATCGAACTGGCTACTATGAGAACATCCAATATAACGCACACGGTTTAAATTCTGGCTGTATTTCAGGAGTACTAGCAAACAATCTGAGACGCACAGTAATTCTCTTTGTCAAGAAAACTGAAGTAGAGCAGAGAAACATCACAGCCAAACAGAGGCACAAATGTCTCAAATTTTTTCAGTATATAACATGAGGCACGTTTACTAGGCAGCAAGTTTCGCAGGAGAAATTTCACTACTGTGGCATTTGTCAGTGTTTAGATTAAGCTAGCATCAAAATTAGCATTTATTAGCTAACCAACCAGCTGCCTTCTGAAATCATTCTCTGAGTGTTTCATATATTGAAGGCCTATTAACTATGACGTTTTCGTTGTTTTCGTGCTGTAGGTGAGAGCTTTGACCATGCTAGGGCCAGTTCTTGTGGTCATCCACAGGGAAGCCACATTTTTCATTATCGCAAAAAGAGGCAAGGATGTTAGTTGAATGTTGGGAGATGAATGTCGCAGAGCACTAAATTAACTTTATTGTTACCAATGATTACAGCACTTTTGTCTGTTTAAGCTACCTTGTTTAGGTATACTAAAGAAGGACATCAGAGATGTAAAAATAGGGATGCCAACTGCATTTCCATTGAAGCTCCCATCACTGGAAGCATAGCCACTGACAGATCAGAGCCTTTCTGCCCAGAGGCACAACAAAACTGGGTTAGTTGCTGATTGGACTGCTCAGTAAGCAAGTTATCGACCATCAGGCAGGACACAAGGATCTGACCTTAAATGATCTTCATGCTCTACAACAACACGCAGGGTATTCTCAAGGTTCTCCCATTTCTGCTGGTTTGGGAGTGGTGTGAAAGTCTGGGTACACTATGCTCATTTTGCTTAAACTGGGAGTTGACTGATAAACTTATTTGGCTCTCCTATCTGAATTGACCTGAAAAACAAGCAGCATCATATTGGACAAGGAAGGGGTTGTACAGTCATATGCAAACGCTTTGGTGCCCCAGCCAAATAACACTTTGCTGAATTTCTACGTTTCACAAAGAACACATTTCTGCGCATTTGAATGCAAAACTACTGTTTATTTGCTGAATTCAACATTCAGTTTGTTCTCTATAGAAGATTGTGTTAACTTATTTTGACAATCAGAATCAGCAGAATTTGTAATTTCACTGGGGGCGTTCAAACTTTTGCATATGACCATATATTTTAAGGTTTAAACTAATCAGCTTAATATCCCTTGTCATTGGACGAAGGTCTGCTGACATCATTCTGGGTCTTATTACACTCAATTAATTACAAGCTAAAGACTTTGTCTGAGTAATACCCTACGTCAAAAACTTCACAAATGATTAATTTCTTTCTTAGGTCAATGACAATCTGTTATCTGGCACCAATAAGACGCTTTTGTGCCGACAGCTGTACAGTAGTCAGTCTGGCTTTGGAGAATTAGGACATGAAGAGCCCTGAGGCGTAACTGAAAACCAAAGGGAATACAGCCAGCTCCCAGAACTACCACACATTCAGCTACTGTAACAGCTCGAAAAGGTGTAACCACATAGTTGGAAGCACCAAACACACAAAGCTAGAGACATTACACTGGAACTTGTTCACCTCTCAGGCTGCTTGCTAATACTCAGTTTCTGTAACCTCCTCTAAGCAGCAACAGAGAAGAACCAAGGTGTGAGGCAGCAGTCATGAGTCAGCAAGTCTACGAGCACTACAGAGAGACTTTAAGCATTACTACTAGACAAACTGAAGCTGTGAACCACACCACACCACACCATGTTAAACACTGGGCACAAGGTGACAGAACCTACACTTTACAATAAACAAAGTTTCCTTAAAAAAAAAAAAAATAAATAAAAAAATATGCACACTGAACAGGTCCATAACCCACATTTTTGTGCATTTTTTCCACTCCTAAGGTCCATGTATGACATTTCTGTGGTTTTAAATACAAAAAATATGACGTTCCAACATCTTAGACTTCTTAGAATTAAACTCCTTAGAATTGAACAGGCTATTTTTGTTATTGTGTCTTTAACTGATATGTAAATGCCCTCTGTTCTGATTGGCTGCCTTGTATTGCTCCTGATTCACAAAACAGTCCAGAACGAAACATTTAATGGGATTTCAACGGGAAAGGGCGGTACTAAACTGCTGTAGGCTAAATAAATGGATGTTAATATGTTGTTTTGCATGACATTATAAAATAATTAACTCAACGTGAGCTGTTACTGCAGCTTGGCTTCCCAAATATGGACTATATGGACTAAGGAATTAAATATTTTCAAACAAAGTTTACATAGCACATCAGTCTTACTTCAAACTGAAATCATAAGTACTATGAGCTGTGACCTCTAGAAAAACATCTTGCTTCATCAACAACTTCAGTGAAGTCACTTGTTAACCAAGTTGTGTATGCACAGCCCTCCTTAGTCAGCAAAGAACTTCAGAGCCACACAGCCTTTGCACATTAAAGGCCACATGGCTTGCAATTCAGCAAACGATGACTGACAGTGGCAATAAATACTCAGAAAGGCCTCTCCTTAGGGGCACTTCAACAAGTGTCAAAGCCTTGTGCAATCAGAAACTTGCAGTTTACCCTAACTATTTTAGAACAGTCAAAAGCTACTGTTTGTGGTACAAGTAAACGTGTGGACCACAGAAATGATGCCCACTCTCACCTTACGACCGGCGTTTGTAGACATGCTCCAAAAAGGGTTCATTACTCATTGAGCCTCTGCAGGGTGTGTGCTTCTATGCCTCTCAATGGCATCCGCAGAATTCACTGTGGGAGAGAGAGAGAGAGTGAGCTGATGAGAGGCCTGACGCCTGGGCAACACAATGTGCAACCTGATGCAGCATGACAGCTGCTGACAATCCAGTCTGCTGATGGTGTCTGTTCTACTCTAACTCAAAGCATACTTTAAACAGCCTACCCAAAAGTGTTAGGCTAAAGCCAAGATTTTCAAACACTGCAAAACAGATAATTGATCTGTACAGCAGCAGTAGTACAACAATAATACTCTCATGTGCCCACACCCCAACCACCCCCTTTATCTAGTACTGCTTCTGACATTATTTGTACAATGTCTGATTTTTAGTTACCTTCGTTCTGTTCTACGTTTACTCTAATAGATTTGTTTCTATTTTTTGTTCAGTTCTTGCTATATTCTGCTGCACTGATGCTGCTTTACTATGTGGTAACTGTCACTTTCTCGTGTTCTGATTAGTGTCAGCTTTGTTCTACCATGCAGGGGTACAGTGCTCATTTCGGAGGAGGGTGCATTAGCTAGCTAGCTGGCTACACATCCGTGTGAGGAAACTTCACCTAGTAAAACATCTAACCAGATGGCAATAAAGAAATACAGACGACTGTGACACTCATCATCGACACAGGACCCCTCCAGCCAGCCAGACAAAGTAATCAACGAATGGGCGAGTCAAAGTTCACTTAGTTATGCATTGTTATTAGCTAACCTAGATGTAAAAAGACGCCAACATCTTAAGCTCGCTAGTAGCTAGCAAGTTGTCGTAGATTGTATTGGGGGTTTGATTTCTCTCAAGAAAAAGTCCTTAGGTCAAGCATAAAATGCTAAGTACAAACGTACAAATGATTGCATTGGTAAGGCATTAATTAACTAATGTCTTTGCCGGACTGACGTTGTAATTAGCCTTCTTCCCAACCTTCAGTTAGCTAAGCGAAGCTAGCTACCGAGTTTTCTTCAGTAGGAATCGCTTAGCTAGGCTAGCTAGCTAGCTAAGGTGTAACCACTTACTTGGAAAAGCCAGACACACAAAACTGGAAGCACACTACTCTGTAACTCGTTCGCTTTTCAGACTGTTAGTCAATACTCAAACATACTTTATCCATTCAGACTGCAGGCGACCTAAATGCTAGTTAGCAGCAAACATGAACAGTTAACTAGCGAAATAATCCATAAATCTGAGTAGCAGGAACCCAAATACTTCAACGCCTCACTAGCGTGCTAATAGGCGGGCCAAAGATCTCGGACAAATTTTATTGGTTGATGAAAGGAGGCGGGCAGCATTTAAGAGAGTTCTTATTGGTTGCAGCATACCGACGTGAGGGAAGAGTCGCGTGTGTTTGGCCAACATACTGTCAATCAAATGTTACGGTACAAACACACTAGATAAAGCCACCGAACTTTTCAGACCAAATATGATTCAGTAATGAATGCCGCATATATATATAAATATAAACTCCTGCGGTTGGAGTGGTGGGATATTTCAGCTCACGCAGAGACAAATAAGGGCAATGAGAAACATAATGACATGCGTTCTGTCTGGATAAAATGACAGGGCTAGCAGCTCAGCTAGCAGGCTAGCTATTGTTTTCGTTTTTGTGGATAATATTACTCAGCCTGAATGTCATTTTAAACCTACACCCCTCTCTCAACGAGCGCCCCAGATGCGCAGCGTTAAGCGCTCATAGACGCATTTTTACTTAACCTTTAACGGAATGATAGGGTCCTTTAATTTCTTACCTCGCTAAATTCCTGAGATATCAGACATTTTTAAAGCACGTAGACTACATTCCTCCCGGTTAGAGCCGTTTCCTTGCTGATCGGTGCCAGCTGTGCTACTTTCCTCTCATTGGTTTGTAGAGGAGGGGCTGAGTCTCTATAGTCCCCGCTCACTGTCAATCATTCGGGATCAGCGGGGATGACTTTGATTGGCTTTTTAAAGGATTTAAAGTGGAATTCCACAATTTTCGCAACGATTCTGCATAATTAATTTGTTAAGATGTAACGGGGGCTAAGCCTGTACTAGGGGGGTCTGGGGATATGGTCCCACAGTAGAATTTGTTTAAAGGTCCTAAAATGTCTGTTAATCGTGAATTTTTAGAGTAGCAACAGCCATGGCGGTTTGGTCAGACTGGCACGCAGCAGATCTGTCTCTTTGTAGTTTGTATAAAGTACAGAGCTAATATGACGTAAACACTATATCCATCCACAGGCACAGATCAAGCAAAGGTACTGAAGTCACGCAATGCTATCTTCTCTCTCTTAGATAAGATGCGGGTCCTATGTATGTTATTCAAATACACAGATTATGGGGATTATAGCCAGCTATACTGTATATGTAGTTTGCCACAAATTCATATTGTAGGTGGGGAGTCACTCTGTAACTACTTACTGTTTCAGTTATGAGTATAATAGATTATAGTCTAAAGTTTATTTTAATTTAATTTTATTTTATTGTATAATTTATTGTTTTATTTTACTGTCTTCAGCTTCAGGGGTTGCCGACTCACATTACTTTGCAGAGCGAGACCCTCCCCAGGTCAGGTATGATTGGCTCACAACTTATGAGTTCTGATGTGATTGGCCGAGCCGGGCGTTCCACTTTTCACTTTATGTTAATAAATCTTCGGTAGCACAGCAGAGGCAGCGCTGCATTAGAGCAGGTTGCGCCCTGCTATGACATAATGAAGAATGAATGAGAATTAACTATGGAGGCTTTAAACTATTATGTTTATTTGGGAAGATGGGGCCAAATAACACAAGGGGTGGCTAAAGAGCCCTAAAACTGGTGTACCGATGTCCATGAGACATCGCAGAGTTGTTTATGTGAAATGTGCTATTCTATAGATACTTACTGAGTCAGAATTATTCACAGTGGTGGTGATAAGAAGCAGGTGTGTGAAGTGTTTAATGGCACTAAAAGCCCACTCACAGAAAGCTCTTACATGAAATGGTTACAAATATATTATGTTGTTAATTTACCACAATTTTACCATTATCAACATTACATATAAAAACTCAGAAGACACAGCAAGTTCACTCGTCATTTTGAAGAGTAAATAAAATGGCTGTATTTGTGCTGTGGTAATCACAATCCCTGGTTTCTATCACTTGACACCTTTCATAGAAACATTTCAGCTAAATCCCTTGATACATTTCTCTAAAATGTGTATATATTCAATATATATCATATTTAAAACAAATTTCTTTTTTTATCACATAAATTAAGTAAATAAATTCAGGTTACAGAGATTACAGATTTTTACTAAAGCAAAACTAATCCAAATTTGACTGTGAATCATGCATGGAAGTATGAAAATTGCATGTAATCAAAAAAGAAATTCATCTAAAGTATATCAATACAAAATTTCTTCACTTTAGCTCAATCAGAACATGTTCTGTGGCATTTTTACTTATCATGCTAAATTTTGTTGTTAGACATGAATGCATTAATCATACTTACATTTGTTTTATTTTCATCACCTTGTTCTCAAGATACACTGAAAAAAAGTGCTTTGAATTTGTTGTAAATGTGTGCATAATTTCTGCACAGATATCCGACTGCAAAACAATACTCATCTTTCAGATTACTTCATTTTGTTCGTTGATGTAACGTTGATTTAATATATCAAACAATCAGCCTATTTGACCAACACTTTCTCATGATTCATATTGATTCCTTCCATTCAGGAATATTTATTCCCCTTCAATCTCATTAAGGCAGAGAGAAGATTCTGACACTTTCCACATTAACATCAGGCAAAACAGATGAGCTAAAAGTGATAGAGAAGTTTACTGAAGCAAGAGAGAAAGGTTTTAAGAAGCATGGAAAATTTGAGTTGTGAGTTCAGGCCCCACTCAAACCAGCGCAAATGGAGAGCCATGTATATGTCTAAGCTAGAGAAAGAGATACTTTTACAAAAAGGGATACTCCTCCCTTTATCTGCCTTAACTTTTTGATGAAAAGAAGGCCTATAATCTAAAACACTCATCATCTCCAAACCACAGCATACTGTGTTATTTTGCCACAATATGTTAACACAAACTACATTGTGCTTAAGTAGCTGCATAATTGTTTTTAAAATGTGTGTTAAAATGTGTTTTTTAAAACTTTGCACAAGGGGTCGACTAATATTTCCAAGCCACTAACTAAAATACTTCATTGTGGAACACTCTTTTGTTGTGTGATACAATGGATGCTACTACCCATTCAAAAAAGCACCCGACTAATAAAAATATTTTGCTCAGTGTGTTAATATTTTGCATATTGTCTTATGAATTTCAGAAACTAATTCAAACAATTTTGGTAAAGATTTAGATTTAGATTTTGGTAAAGATGGTCTGAAATCTGTAGTGTTACATCTGCGTGCAAAAACTTTGATGTCTATTTTTCTACCTCATATGCATAAAAGTGGGCATTAAAATACTTAACAGTAACAATGTGAACAAACTTAAATACTTGTTCATTTTCACACTTCTCCAAAACAATGCTGACCTCTGGTGTCCTCATTTAGAGGAAGGACACTCCCTGTTCTGTATCTGACCTCTACACTGTGTGCACTGTAGATAATACTACAAGCTGCGTGTGAAATGTAGATAGCACTTAATGTTAATAACATCAAGTTATTTTCAGAATTTCAAGAAGACTGGCTTTGTGAAATTGGTTTTGATGAGCAGTGTTCACTGAAACTGGCATTAGACTCAAATATAGCAGTACGTGCAGCCTGAGACTATGGACAAGGCTGGACAGGACGAGCTGTTAAAGATGAGATGAGAAAAACATTTTGTTGATTATAAAACTTCTCTTCTGTTCTGTGGGCTTGAAACATCCCATAAATTGCAAGGGGGGAACAGTGCAGTAATGGTAACTTGATTGATTATGCGAATTAAACTATTTTGTTGTTTATAATGTTCTCCAATACATTATAAGCCACAATCACTTATGATTTTCTTACTGCACAGCTACTGTTTATGTACACATAGCTTTCGCTCAGTGTAATTTTAAGTTGAATTTATGTTTATATACTATATGGACAAAAGCATTGGGACACCTACAGGAGCTTTTATGACATCCCATTCTAAATGGTCAGGGCACTGTGCGGGCCAGTCAAGTTCTTCCACATCAAACTCACCCAGCCATGCCTTTATGGACCTTGCTTTGTGCACTGGGACACAGTCATACTGGATCAGAAAAGGGTCTTCCCCAAACTGTTCCCACAAAGTGGAAGCATATAATTGTCCAAAATGTCTTGGTCTGCTGAAACATTAAGATTTCCCTTCACTGGAACTAAGAGGCCTAGGCCCACCCCTGAAAAACAACAACCCATCGAATTATCCCTCCTCCACCAAACCTTATAGTTGGCACAATGCAGTCAGGCAGGTAACGTTCTCCTGGCATTCTCCAAATCCAGACTCATCCATTAGACTGTCAGATAAAGAAGTGTGATTTGTCACTCCACAGAATACGTTTCTACTGCTCCAGAATCCAGTGGCGACAGGTTTTACACCACCCCATTGGACGTTTGGCATTATGCTTGGTGATGTAGGGCTTGCATGCAACTGCTCGGCCATGGAAACCCATGCCATGAAGCGCCCGGCACAGTATTTGTGCTGATGTTAATGCCAGAGGAAGTTTGGATCTCTGCAGTTATTGAATCAGCAGAGCGACTTTTATTCACTATGTGCCTCAGCACGTAACTTTACGTGACACTTCATGGCTGAGTTGCTGTGGTTCCTAAACACTTCCACTTTTCCACTTGTGCACTTTTCCATTTATTGGTTTATATCACAGATTTTGTGCATGTACATTGTGTGACCAAAAGAGCAAAAACAACCTACTTGGAAAGAAAACATGCCCTCCGTTTCAATACTGGATTCAACAAGTACTCGTCCCATTGGCCTTAACATTTCCCCTCAGGGGCAACCCCAGCGCCATCTTAAGGGCTTTTCCACAAGTTCCACAGTTGATAGTGGAATATCTAGGAGGGAAGAAATTTCACGAACTGACTTGTTGCAGCGGAGGCATCCAATTACAGTACCATGCTTGAATTCAGTGAGCTCGTTAGAACGAACCATTCTTTCACAAATGTTTGTAAAGACAGACTGCATGGCTGGGTGCTTGATTTTATACATCTGTGGCAATGAGACTGAATGAAACATGAATTCAAAGATTAAGAGGTGTATCCCAATACTTTGGTCTATATAGTGTATGTGATTCTCCATTTTATGTAAATGTAATTATTTCAAACAACTGTGTATCCACCGCTCATTAACTAACGTACACTAATTAGCGATCATTTTATCAACAACTTTAAATTAAACATCTCATATCTTTAGCGGGCTGCTCAACAGCACCATTACACACATGGATGAACACACACACACACCTTGTTACCGACATTCCTCTTTTCTCATGATAAAGATATAACATCACTATTGCACTCCTATAAATATCTGTGAGTCTTGTTAAAAGTCACGTGACTGTGCGGTGGAGGAACACACAGGCCTTTTGTCTACAGCTGTGCATTGCTCTCTGCAGCTCTTTGGCTGCAAGTAACGGGCTCCTCCCGTTTTATAAGGCCATGTAGAGGATAAATATGTCCATGATTAATTAAAAATACACGTTTGAAAATGTCAGTCTTTGCTTAATACTGATGAGCCTTTTATTTCATTTAAACGCAGTCAAAAGTAGTACATATATATCAGGGGAGCTCAAAGTTTTTGTCTCGGTCACACAAAGTGCAATATTTATGGTGGGATGAGGGCCAAAAAGACAAAAGAGCATACAAATAAAGAACGTAGGTAGAAGTAGGTTTCAGAGGATTTAAAGAATATTTCATAGCATTAGATTATGGTGTGGGGTTAGGGTACCTTTCTGGCAGGTTGCCAAATGAAAAGTCATCTTGGGCCAAAGTTGGGCAGCCCTGATTAAAATGTTTTCAAAATTATTTGTAATCAATGATATCACAATTATTTTGGCATAACCTGCATAAATGCTCAAATGTACAGGACTGTGATTGACTACATAATCAGATTTTACATGGTTGTGCAGTTTAATGTTTTGATTTTTATTTCTTACTGTGTGGTTTTTTGTTCGTTCATGTTAGCATGCATTCTGGGGCTCTACTCAGTCATTTAGCCTCAGCCTTGAGTTGCAAAGTAAAGAGTTACTTTAAACGAGCAGCTCAATTGGCTGGTAGACGTTTAAACGCCTAATTTGAAAAAAAAACATTCAAATGTTGGAATCCATGAAAATGTAGTAATTAACTCCCATTTTTTTCACAAGTACTTCACTGTGTGCATGTTAAAGGGGTAATGTAGATACATAATATTACCTTATTTTCAATCAGTAGTGTATTGCTGATTGTCTCAGTATGTCTGCAGGAAAAACAAAATACCATTTATAGTCACGTTATTATGTGCCAGACAGGAAAGTCAGAAAAATGTGTATTTTATCGCATAGTACTGCACGAGTCGCTGAGTTTTATGTTGGAAATATTTATATGAGCTAAAGATAGATTTGGATCATGCTGTGTTAGGGTGGGATTTATACAAATATGATTCTGTAGTCATGGTTTTAGCTCAATGACTGGTGAAATCTCCTGGCCCAAGACAACTTAAAAGGCCCATATTCTGCATTTGTCTTGTATTTTAGACATTTGGTTTTACGTACCATGGACCATTTTTTAACCTCTCTTTAGCCTGTTTTTGTTACTGTGCCGTTAAGACTGACATATGTAAATGACATCTGTTTTAATTGGTTGCATTGTATTGTGCCTTGTTCAAAAAGCAGTTCAGGCTTAACACTCTTTATAACAAACTTGCATTGGACGGATGTGCAATGGATAGATGGATATATGTAAATGCATTTTTGTGACATCACAAAACAATGAATCCAAAAGAGCTCTGCTTCCATATACAGACCACATAGACTGCAGAGTGACTGATACATTTTAAGCCATTAAAAGTGTTCACATACTACATCAAACTCTTTTATTAGAAAAATAAAGCAAAGTAAGATGCATGTGGGGAAAAAATGAATCAGACACCAGTGATGTCTACACATCTTGCAGAAACCCTGTTAAGTGCAATCTGTTGCTGCAAGCTGACACAACCAGTGGCTGGATTTCAACAGTAAATACCAAACACTACTGTACTTAAATTGAATTACATTTAAAATCAGTCCTGTTAAAGATAGAAATAATTTCTGTATTTGCCTGTTACACATTGTACTATGTTACACCACTAGAGGTCATCATTATACCACAACAAACTCTCTCATTAATAAGTTTTAAAACCGTGAACATAAAACATTTATTTTTGATGAATAAGCAAAGGGAATTTACTTTGTAAATTGCGCTGTATTTCCAGTGCTTAAGGTTATTCATTCATACTATTGTACTTGAAAAACAAGGCCTTCATATTTTCATCCTCTTTTGGTGCCATAAGCCCGGACTATAGCACAAGCCTTATTAGTAGTAGTGATGAAAGAACAACAGATATGATGCATGCTAGGTTTGTTGCAATGTGAGTAGGCAACATCTGAAATTACAAACCAAAATAGTTGACACACTAAAAATGCTCACACAAAAAGTATATTTGAAAAGCTGACTGGCTTGCACTTGCACCATTTGACATCTCTGCATTACATCATAACAGAAACACAAATCTGCTTACACTGTAACAGCAAGTCCTTTCAAAATAAAGCAGAAATGAAATATTTTGAGAATCAGCAATCATAAGGTCCAAGCACTATTTCGCACAGTCTCAACAACGCAGGTTTCTGAGTACATGGGTCTGCAATCAACGTAACAAATAATAAATCAAATTGCCTGACTGCCTGTACAATTAGTGTTGCTCTAGTTTAACCAGGAGATACTCTAAATGATGTTGCAGACCATTGTGTTCAAAGTTATGGAGAATGATTTGCTTGTGACTCCACAAGACCAATTTTTCAAGAACAATTGTGAGATAATTAGTTTTTGATGAAAGGGATTAAGTTGTATCAACAGTCGTGTATAACAGAGTAGTTTGTAGCTTAAAGCCCAGCTAATCGAATGACATGGTTTTGAAATGCTAAGCATTTTAAATGAGTTCATTTCTATAGCTTTGTCCATCATTTTTGGGTTTCGAAAGGGAAATGAGTCAGGGCTCAACGATTTCTGGGCAAGTTCTGCTGCTGAAGTCGACACTGATGTTTGCTTGATCCCTCATCCCTCCGAGGGCTGATCTTACATGCTTCACTTGAGCACATTAAGTAATGGAACAGCCCTTAAGATGGCACTGGGGAATCCCCTGAGGGGAAATGATGAGGCCAATGGGACGAGTACTTGGTGAAACCCATACTGAAATAGAGGGCATGTTTTCTTTCCAAGTAGGTTATTCTTGCTCTTCTGGTCACACAATATACATGAACAAAATCTGTGCTATGAACCAATAAATGGCCACCGTGTTTTACCAACATTCTCCTCTCTTGTAAAATGGACAAGGCTGATCTTGGGTAGTGCTTACATGAGCAGGGTCCTCACCAATCACAAGGCTGATGCATGGGCATCAGAGCATTAGGGCGATGCCCAGACAGTTCTCAGAAAAAAAGCCATGTTTTTTTTTAATTCAGACTTTACTGGATGTATAACACTCAATTTTAGTATCATACAAAAGCTTTTCATAATTTACACTGTGTTCTATTGGAACATAAGCAATGCTGGGCTGCTGTGCTAAATGTCTGCATTTCATTTATTTTACTACATTTCTAAATCTATACAAATAAATATTACAATTCTCTGTAATGCAAATTCAGTCCTAGTTTTTGTATTTTGCGAATGAGTTTATGTATCGGCAACAGCAGATATGTACATGAAAACTAAGATTTCCTCATCGGTGCATTCCTACAAAACAATTACAGATGACTAGCCAACTTGCATTTTGAAAACTTCTCTATTTGTCATAGAAAATGAACACTTCTCTAAGTTGTCATTTCATTTCAAAAAGCTAAAGGAAAACACAGCAAATAAAAACTTAAAGCAGTTAGAATTTCTATTTAACAAGAATTCCCACTTAACATTGTCTTCTAGGGTGAACAGATGCTAGCAAGAATGAATGGGGACCTAAAGAGCTTTTGTGCAAAATTGTAATTTGTAAAATGTTCCTTTTATGCCTTCCTTTTAATAAACAGAATAAATAAGAATACATCATTGCTGGTATCCTACAACACAGAATCCGCTGTAAGATATGAAGTTCTTTTTTTTTTTAACAAACTTATCATTTCCTAAAATTAAATGCTCTTCCGTGATAAACCTGAAAAACATTTAACATTTCCAACCAGAATTTAGCTAATTTTCCAATTAGCTAAATTCACTCCTATTCATTGAGAACCCTCTCAAGATTTCAGTGATGTTTTTGGTATAAAGGAATGAATAGGAAGTGGGCAGGCTCCTCATGAATTGGCTCTGGTAGAGGGTTCAGTTTTGCTGGCCAATGTTAGGACAATCAAACATGCCTGGCTGACTGGCCAACACCAGAGTAATCTTTAAAAACCCTCATGCAAGCTAGCACATATATGCAGTATGCAAATATTTTGACTGGGTGAGCATCTAAGAAGCATTCAAGTGTCAAAGAAATGGTTATTAGAATGTTAATGCCCTCTTTTGACAAACACGCACCGAAGTTTACCTCAAAAATCACTATCAAGTCAACGTCAATTTTAACAATTTAAAGATTTTTTTTCCTTCCATAACATGGCATATTTCTATCAAGACTTGTCTGCTCTGGATTGGTTGGTGCATGAAGGCCATCTTCTTTCCAAATGACAATACATTAACTTAATTATTGAAATTCAGGCTTTCAGGAGGATTGGGGGAAAAAAAAAAATCATAGGGCTAGTTTGCAATATGTTTAAAACATTATGCAAATTTACCCAAAATGCAGAAGTGCATGTTCCTTGAGGCGTTATTTTGTTGAGAAATTTGACTTAAGGCCTTTGCACAAATTACAGCTGAAAAACTTGCACAAATTCTAAACAAAACTTGCACAACGCCATTCTGACACTGCTGTTACATCAAACCAAACTGCATTTTTTGCCTTTTTGTAGGCCCATTTAAACTTGCCAGTTAAAAAACAAGAAAACACCTGCTGTGCCTATACATGATCTACAGATAACAATGGCTACTGATGGAACTTCTGAACAACCTGGCAACCCAAATGGCAGATTTTTTTTTTTTAAATCTATTGCTGCCAATTTCTAGTGTAGACCATACTTCTTTCTACCAGATGGGTCCAAAGATGACTCTCCCTATTTCTGTATTTGCAAATGAAGACAATTGCTAACTTGCCTTCACTGGAACTACCATCATTTTCTACTTTCTGAAGGATACTGTTTTTTTTTGATGACGGATGCCCTAGTCTCACGGGGCAAAATGTGATTCATAATGAGAAGGTCTTGGAACAACCATGATAAATTTCGGGCTAAATGTGGTTGGGAACGTACACTTATTTGGGCTGGAACAGACTGAGTGGGGCGTTTTTAAATCAATCCAACTCCTTGTGAAGGTGGAGCTGAAAGTGTGTTGATAATGCGTTCAACATTGTCTAATGGACAGCAAAGCCTGGTTTTGGCTCATGGATGTAATGCAAGTTATCCTAAACTTAAACATTACCTCTTGCGAGAAAAACACAGTTCCATTAGCTACAGATTTAGCTAGCTTGTTATTATTGTATACAGGACGTTTAAAGAGCACAGACTAGAGGAATTTGTCCCCTGATGTGTATTCTTGTTATGAGATCACGTCAGCCCTGTGAGACTACTAGGACGTCTGCACATCACATGCGTATTAATTACACCAAAAACAATTATCCGATTTTGTATGCAATGGCCTTTACAGTTCAAGCAATGTAGACCAAAGATAATATGTGGCACTACAGTGGCATTACCAGGCCAATCGTTGTCAGGTCACTTCATTTCATGTGGGGTGGATACTGCACCTTTAGAGCTTTGCAGTTTAAACAGTCTCTGCCCAGCAGTTAAGTGGAAAATCAGATGAATAAGGAAATGTCCTAAAACAAAAGCGTTCATGTACTATCAGCTTAGGTCACTAAAAAAACAGCAAGATGACTTTGGCAAGCCAAATAACTACAGATAACAGGTAATTCTGAACAGGTTTGTAAAAAGAACTATAGACAATAACACCTGGTCACTTAATATGGGATCATAAAAACAACTATATACAATTAACAATATACAATTATACAAAGTGGCACTGAGGCCTAGGCATGATCAGAGGACGAGGAGCAGCTGGTGGGCACTAAGAGCATCCGCACCTCTCCATGGGCAGAGGGGTTAGGGGCTACAACAGGCATACAGAAAACTAGCATTGGTTTTACATTGTGCCACATACTATGCAAAGCAGTACGGCCCTGAGCATCACTGTCTGTCTTCTGGCTGACCATTTTCATGATCAGGCACTGATGTCTTGCCTGCTCTTCCTGCAGCGAGCCGATGCCTCCCAAGTTTGGCCTTCTGTCGGGCCACTGACGAGGTCTGTGTACGCCTCCGTAAGGGTTTAGCCCTTTTTGTCATTAATGTCATACAGCTGTAGCAGCCAAATGCATGCATGGCTGATGCTAGCTTCGCTGGGCTGTGTTGGACCTTTTCGATTCCCTTTATCAAGTCGTGTGCAGCAGGCCATAAACTCGAGTCTTTCTCTACAAGCTCACATAAATCGGCTAAACTGGATTTTAACTTGTCCACAGGGTTGGCAGCCTCTGCACCTGAAAATAAAAACACCATATCAGAGACATTCTTTGTTTTAAAATATTTGCTTAAACATGTTTCATTTATATTCAAATAAGTCTAAGAATACTTTGATATAAGGAAACATGATTTTTCATTCAATATGACATTTGCTCCTTATCTTATTATCATTATTATTATTATTATTGTCTTAGAATGCCGACCTTCTGCTGCCTTGGTCACCTCCTGCTCCATCACACATGTCTGCGTAGAATCATCTTCCTCGGGTTGGGAGGTGTCTACTGGGTCTGGGTTGGGAGGAATGGTGGAGGGTGGACTCACAGACACAGTGGTCAGTTTGGTGCACTGGTCACCGCACTGGTTGTTGTACATGTCAATCTGCCTCTCCAAAGCCTCTGCCATTCCTGCCCCTTCACAAGCTGCAAAATCCTGTTTAGAAACTTGGTGGTACAATCTGAAAAAAAGGCAGTAATATTTGGTATACCCCATTTATCCAGCAGGGGATATCTAACTCAGACCATCAAGGAAAGAGGTACAGCTATCGACATGTTAATGTATGATCAGATGTTTTAATAATAGTTTAGGCGTGTCAAATTGGGTTCCTTCTGGGCCACAGCTCTGCAGGGATTAGCCTTTTCCCAATTCTAAGACTCAGAATTCAACTCAGAATTCAACTCACGAAGGCCTTGCTAATTAGCTGGATGCGTTGAATCGGGTGTGTTTAAAAGGCAGACTGCTAAATTCTGCAGAGCTGTGGTGCTGGATGGAACCCAGTCTGGCACCTCTGCTTTACATTAAGCACCTGCTAATGAATTCAGTAGTACATAATGTATCATCAGTAGAGATGTATCAGTACTGATACTGCTATCAGGTATCAGTCCAATACCACACTCATTTACTCGTACTTGCACTTGTAGAACATGCACCTATACCAACATCCGATACCAGCCGATACCATGTGACGTAAGCCCAGTGTATGGGTGGCGACACATAGGCTAGCAAAATGGAGGCAAAAAAGTTGACATTTATTACCAAAGTCAGTATATGCGACTTTACTCTATTTGACTGAACAGATTTGCAAGGTCTAAATGTTAAAACAGTGATTTTTATAAAACTGTGCAACACCTGCTTTTAGCTTCAGTACAGAGTGTTAGCAAAGCCGCTCAATTTATTTGCGTGTTTTCTCTGTACTCGGTGCGCAGCATGTTGTTTTGAATCAAACAGCTTTATTGATAATTTTTCATAGACAGAGCTGTCTGTAGGGGCTGCGTTTTACATAGCATGTCAGTTGGATCGAGCACTTTTTGTACAGTGTGAGCATGTAAGCTTTTTTGTACATGATCTATTTAAACATTTGGTCACCAAAGCACAACCAGACAAACATAAGAAAGAGTTAAAAAGATAATAAAATAAATAAACTGGGATGTGATTCCTGCTGTCACTGTGCTACAATAACAATACAATGATGTAGCATAGTTAGCCAATGCACATCATTTAAAATAATTTAGGCTAAATTCACATTACATACCTCATTGCTTAAAACTGATTTTTTGCTCAAATCCAATCCCTCTGACATGGTGCTTCACACTCGTTTAGGTAAGTGATGCAAATCTATCATTAATGTGAATGAACCGGCATCCTGAAATGACCCGTATGCGCACATCCTACTCAATAACGTCGCGTGAATGAATCACGTGCATCATGTGCATCATCAGCAAACAAACTACCGAGCAGAATGAGCCTTCGCTGCAAAGATAATTAACTCTGATCAGCTCTCAGCTGCTCATTATTAGAGTGGGACGAAGGCGAAAAAGGTGAGACGTGTTGCTTTTTCACTGTTCACAGGCTTTAACTTCTGTTCGGCACTGCTGCCATGGTAACGCTGAATGATGCAGTGGGAAATAATCAGTAACCAAAAAAATGGGGGAGGGGGACTAACATTCAAAACACTGACATCTATTTGTTGTCTCATTTGCTTTTATAGAACCAATGAAAACTCACTGGTTTCCAAAATTAAAACTCAAAAATAGGCTTCTGGGAGGAGGGGGAGGGACTTACACTTGAAAATGAATTACTGGGTTTTTTTATCTGAAGTCACTTAAAAACTGTAGGGGTTGTGATTTTTGAGGCTTATTTTGTTAGAAGGTTTGCGGGTCAGGCAAAGAAAAAAAATGTTTTTACATTTTTTATTTATATGATCCAAACTAGAGACGCACTGATACTGTTTTTTTTTCAGACCAAGTACGAGTACATTTTTTTTTGTACTCGCCGACACAGACTCTGATACCATACTGGTCACACTTCTCTGTGTGAGCAGAGCTTCACTCACTGCCAGCTTTAGCTGTTTGTTAATTAGCGCGGCAGTGTACACTCGGCTTACGTCACACGGTAACAGCTGGTATTAGAATGTTAGTGTCAATGAATTTATAGGTAGCGAGTACATCAGCGCGGTATCATACCAGTATCGGCACTGATGCATCTCTAACCCAAATAAATCGGTGTAGTACTTAAAAAGAGCTCTATAAAAAACACAAAACATTAACACATATAGAAATAATATTTTAACATCAAAAATCAAATCTTGATCTCAGAATCAAAAATCATATCAAAAAAGTACGGAAAATAAAGTCAAATCAGAGCGATTTGATGTGAAGTGCTCAGTTCTAAATAAACTTACAGAGTCAGGACTGTTCACAGCGGTGGTAATAGGAACCAGACATCTAAACCCTTTAATGACAGTTTTATGATGCCTTATTTACAATAAAGTTTGGTCTAAAACTAAATAGTACCCAAAGAAATGTATTTGATTTTTTCAGATTTAGCACTATTTTACTATCATCATTATTACATACAAAAACTCAGAAGACACATGTAGGTTCACTGGTCATTTTGGTACTAAGTTGAACGGCTATATTTACTTACATTAGGACCCCTAGTTCCCATTACCAGCAATGTAAAGCTATCTAAGTTGGTAAGTTTCTCTACAATGCAGTATTTCAAATCAAACCACTCTGAACGACTTTGTTTACATCTCAACAATTAATTTAGGAATACTGAAATATCACAATCTTCCTTCAAAACACAACAAGACACATTCAGGACCAAAATGAATACACAATGCCAGACCTCAGGTTTGCACTCTCAAGTTGGGCAGTTTTCTTGTGATATATTAATGCATAATTTTATGCTTGTTCTAGGCAACAAATTAATCAGATAGATATTACTATTACTAATTTTTAAGATAAAGTGATAACTGTTTCTAACTGTTCAATATTCACCTGTAGCAGAACTGAAGATCAGGACAGATGGATCGATCAGCTGATGCATTTGGATACTTATCTCCATGTTCAAGCTGGAGATCATATTTTAAAACATCCAGAGCTGTTGATGGTGAATGACCTGCTTCAAAAAGCTTTTTCAGCTTTTGTTTGGCCTCTTCTCCAACATCCTTGTATCGTAAGGCATCCCCTATGTGTATGTTATGATTGTGCTCATTGGTAATGTGCACTATTGTCGGCAAGCTCGGCATGTGAGGATCTGTGCTTCTGTGTAGAGAAAGGGGGAAAAAAGAGCTCTTTTAAATAGGAGATATAGGCTCAGATAGGCTCAGAAAAGAGTATGCTTTCACCCAGTAGCATTATTTTAGGTTTGTTACGGGAATACTCACCGACACTGCCTGCCACTGCTTGCTTGAGGGCGCTGGAGAGTTACGGCCATCTTTGCAGGGCAGTTTGTGTTTTTTGTCCGTCGTCCAGAACCTTCAGCACTCTTCCTTGGTTTTGTGTTGTGGTGGCATCTATAATCCACCTAATTATATATTTTTTTATTTTTATTATTAAGATCATTTCTACAAAGCTCTGTAACAAATTCTGTTATCAGATAGAAAACAGATAGGTAAAAACAACCTACAATATCATGAGCAAATACCTTATAGCTTGTCCTAACAGCAAGCGAGCATTGCAATGCGGCACTGCATCGTACTGCGAAGTCTTCAGGACGTTTACACTGAAAACGTCAAGTCTGTACATCAAGTCAAAATGTAAAACTAGGGACTCATCAGTTAAAAGCTTGAGACTTCAAGCCCCAAAGTTTGGACAACTACCAAAACAAAAAAAGTTTACCTATATCTTTAAATTAGGACATTTTAGCTACATATATTACAATTATGTAATTCAGTAGTGTAGAGCATGGATGTCAAGGTACTCGAGTTTGAGGTGCCAGTATTTGTAATCACTATTTGGCTACTCACTGCATCTCATCATGGGAAGACAAAAAGTTAGTGAAACACCAATGTTTTAGCAGAACTGTAAAAATGTAATGTTTTGCTCATATATGTAAGTATGTTACGTGACTAAGAAAACAGTGATAGCGCTGCTTATATCTCTAAACAGGCTACAGGCTAATGTTAGCTAGGTCCAAAAACAGTTAAAATATATCTCTCTGACAAACTAACTTGTTAGCACATCGTCCATTGAAAAAGAAAATAAGCCTTGTAGATGATGACGAGTCTCCACCCAGTGTTAATAGGTAGGTGTACTTTTAGCTCATTAGCTTGTCTGAGGCAGTCTCTTGTGTCAAATGCAAAATCTTTTCCTTGGCTAGTTTTGAATAATAACATAATTTGAAATGTATTTGTCTGTGTGATGCTACTTTTGTGCAAAACCAGTGCTATCTGATATTTACTAGGGACATGCATTCTGACTAATTTTGATATGTGAGTATCCTTTAGAGTTCATGAACGGATATCCAGTTGACTGTGGAGAAGGGGGGAATAAATTCACAAAAAAAGAAAATGCGATTAAAATTCATTTAGAGCTTATATTTTTAGGTGACAACACTGGTTTTGCACAAAAGTAGCATCACACAGACTGGGCATCAGCCAAAAACAGTATGTTGCATTGCTCTCTGATGTTTGTACTCTTTGTCGCTCGCTTGCTGTTAGAACAAGGTCTACGTATAATTACACTTCCAGCACCCATTTATCATTACAATGCACGGTAATGAACAGTGCCTACCTTAAAAAGAACTCTTTGCCCCTTAGGTGGTCTAGTTCTGTCAATCCTCCAAGTGATGGGCAAGTCTTTAACAAATTGCTGAATTTCTTCAATAGTAGACAGAGACATTCTAATGGTGGTGGCAAAATCTATGTGATCCTGTGTCTGCCGTATGGCTTTGTAATCACAGATGTGATATTCATGATGACTCGGAAGCCAGTCCTAATGGAAATAGTTGTTAGGGACACAATTAAATTAAACACTCCTTCAGTCTCCTTCAGTCAATATAAAATAATATAATCATATATACCAGGGATGCATTGATACCGTTTTTCTCAGACGGAGTACAAGTACATGTTCTTTAGTACACAGCGATACTGATTTTGATTAGTCTAAATGATTATACATGACGTAGCTTATATATATATATATATTGAGCTGTAGTTGAACATCCTCTAAAGCCAGACATGCACTGTGCAATTTAAGAAACCCTGTTCTTTGGTGACTCACACTGTACACTTGAACAGACATACAGAAAAAGCCTACCATTTATATATGCACACAACGTACGTGTCTCCAACCACATTGGGTAAGTGATTGGATTTTTTGAGAGTATTTAAATATGGGAATGTGCCAAGGTGAAATGTTTAAAGTGACCAGTGACTTTCTGACTGCCACAGTTCAGCAATATTTCCATGTGTGTGCAGACCCTACTTCACTGCCAGCTCGAGTCGTTTGTTCACTAACACAGCAGTGTACACTAAGCTTGTCACATGGTATGAAGTGTCACTGGATGTTGGTATCAGCGCATGAGAGTGTGAGTACAAGTCAATGAGCATATTATCGGACCGATACCCAATACCAATATTGGTATCAATGCTTCCCTAATATACACTCTTAAATATGGTCTTACTTTTAATGCTGGGTACTGTGAGATGTTAATCTCTGCAGTGACACAGTGAAAACGCTCCTTATTTGACAAACGGGGTTTGAGTTTTCTTGTACAGGCTTTTGCAGGTTCCGCCATCCTGTGGAGAATTTACATAAGAGATTTAATCCAAGCATGGCACAGACATTTAAAACATACAAAGACAAAGATAGAAATCTGTGCTTGACAGATTTTTATTGAACAACTTCTTTACCCAATAAAGCAGTTTCCATAAGCTCCAATCCTCTGTGAGGTTTCTTATCCACAAGACACTAAAGACTCTTGCAACAAGACCTGTCAGTTTACCTTGTCAGTAATCTTGGGCTGGGGCATTTGTTCAGCTGCTTCATTTCAATATATTTCTGTTTTGTACAATAACCTTTTTGCCAAGGAGTACTGGTGCACCAATTTAAAAAATACAAGACCACTATGAACATTCTATGAGCACAAACTTGACAAGCTTGACAAGTACATAATCAACTGGCCAATACAAGTTAGAGTATTCAGTTTTGTGTTGGAGTTACAGGACTAATGTAGCTAAAAAGTAATCATTTTAGTCAACATGGACTTCTATTACATAATCCCTAAAGACATGACAGCAAAACTAAAGAAGCAAACTTTAGATCTTAGCCAATCCACTACACTTGGGATAAAGGAAAAATTGTGCACATCTGATTTTTCACTGAACCATGCCTCCAACACACTCACAAAATGATAGGACACTCAGGTCTAAATATGTTCTGCTCTGGTGCCCCAGAATCCAAATTCTACTCACATTTTTTAAAACTTTAAAGAACAAATGCAAACATTATGCTGACATTTGAGGAGCTTGAACGTCTTACAAGAGAATAACATCAACAAACATTTCCATAGACGGTGTACATAGCAATGAGACTCAATTCCATCGCCAACGTATGTCGTGTTAAAAACATAAGCATAAGATATAATATTTTAGACTCATTTTCTGTTACGAGAAATAGGATTATTTTACCCCGCTTATTTTATGCAGCTCGGGGTGTTGACCAATCAGAACGCTGCTAACCATCAGCCTGCTAACTACCGTCACTAAACATAACGGAGGCGGTACCTGATAATTTCACCACATAAAACACGGCAATCTTTCCAAATTCTATACCAACAAAAAAATCAGACTCACTATTCAGGTATCTTCAATTATTTTCACGAGTTGAGTTCTCTAGCTATCTATCGCCACCTTCGACACAGGCTCAATCTCAAATGGCTCCCTAAACCCTAATTAGTGCACTATGTCGGTCATTAAATAATGGCTTTTACACCCACGTAGTGCATTTTATGTCTAACAGAAGGCCATATTTACTCAGCCATAAGCTACTAGACGCCGTGTCTAACATTTAGCGCCCATGACTGACCCTATGCACTATGAAGGGGGTAGGGAGCAATTTGAGATTCAGCCTCAGTCTTGCTAGCTCGCAAGCTAATTAAAATGTAGCCTCTTGCTACTCAGGTTAGTTTAGCTGACGTTTTCTCTAGTTAATGTCTCAGTGTACGTCTAAGTCCTAACACACCCAAGCTACGTTAATGAAGCCTTTGTGTAAGATATGACAACTTTGCTTTAGTTTGCCATTTTCCACAATGCTGCTAGCAACGTAACGCTACCTTACAGTACCAAACAGTTAGCATTAGCATCTTAGCATGCTCTCGTTAAAGACACTAACTAGTTAGCTAGCTTGAAAAGGATACGGTGTTAGCGGGGGGGTCATGACACTAGGATTAGTAACCAGCTGCTACGTCAATCCAAACCATAGCTGGCAATCTCCCCGAGGCTTTTCTGACATACTGCTGTTAACGTTACCTCAATGCCAAAACTAACTTAGTACAAAAGACGAAGCTGAAGTCAGCTTTTTTTCGAGTTTTCCCGTTCCACCTTAAATGGTGAAGCAGTTAGAGCCTCGGTGCAGCCTCAGGCGCCAGAATGTACCGGCTGCACCATTTAAGGTGGAACTGGAATATTCGAACAAGAAGCTGAAGAATAAGAAGTTGACTTCAGTCTCCGGTACAAAAGTCGGACTGGTTAAGTCAACGTTACAGTATTTCCCAACTCGAGCGCTTAAGGCCCATCCTGTGGCTCGGATCCCAGCTTTCTCGGTACCTGATGATACCATTAGCAGCTGATCTGCTCTTTATACGTCGAATCAAGCGTGTTTAGAGCGAAAGAACACAAACCTGTGCTGCAGAACTGAACAGCTGCTCTGGTAATTTTGCTGAACTGAAACGCAGCTTCGACCAGGACAGTAACGCTAACTTAACTAACTAACTCAGCCAACTCTGTGGTGGTTTCACGAATATTATTATGCTAGCTAGTTAGCCTAGCTGCACAACTGTCGTGTTATAATGGTGTGCCGTGGACTTGGCGTTGTTTCCACTGAAAGATCGCCTTGTTTAAATAAAGAAAAAATACCTTATTTATTGTGTTGTTTTCGTCTCCTGATCAGCGTCCAATGTTACTCTCGTCTCAATAACAGACAATACGGGTTACTGTCACTTTGAATTGTGGGCAAAACCTTGTCTAAATAAAAGTCTCTGGCACTCTTCATATTGTAATATCAGTCATTCACATTCAGAGCTTGAAAGTACTTCCTAAGGCATTTATGCTTAATGCTTAATTCAAATATAACCCCATCTGCACGTCAGACGTGTTAAGCACACCATTCAGAATGCAGCAACAGGCCGTTTCGTGTTATAAGCCGTACAAGCCATATTGACCCTGTATGCATAATGTTATTTATTTGGCCAGTGATGTCATTGGCATACAGTATTTTATAAAGATAGCACGGAGTACGTTGTTTAAAAATACAGAAGGCAGAAATAATGTGCACGTCACTGAAACACTTATTTTATTATTTATTTATATATCATATGTTGTTTAAAGATTTTGTCATCTCTGTAAACCGTTAATTATTATTTTATCATCATTCCCGTAGTATTCATTCAATTTTATTCTTGCATACAAAATAAAATGATTGGAGTAAGTGGTGGCTCCTAAGTAGGATTTCTATTTTTTATGTCTCCCAAATGTTCAGAAACAAACCTGATGTGACACTAACAAATTAGCTAATATCACAAAAGCTTCAGTATCACAAACGTAAGCTTTCATGTACACAAGCTAAATATACCTGAATGTCATACAAATTATTATACCCCAAATTAAATTTTAAGTGTTTTTAGCAGTAAATAAAAATGGCATACGCGATAAGTAATTTTTATCAAGCTTGCTTTCATTAGATTTATATCTTTTATACTCACTTAACTTTAGTGTGAGTACTTGAGCTTGTTGACGAATATAGATATACAGATAGAGAGAAATCATTGTGTTTTAATGTTACGTACTTAATGTGAATAATTATTTTCTCAAAATAGCTGTTAAAGCTTCTAAAGCTGTGTACCACCAGGACTTTTATTTTGAAATAAGGACATTTGCAGAATGGCGCGTCACTTTTTGGCGGGAAAACCACTGCAAATTCTCCGGGCAAACAGCTCAGCGCATCTTATTTCTCTAGCTTTCAGCTCTGTTCTCATATTCTTCTTAATTTACAGAAAATAACTAACTATACACGTTTAGCTTTTAGTTAGTGTGTTATTATCAAATACTTCCTGTGTTGCGTTACTGAAAACGACCAGAGCCGGTTTAAGGGGAACCCCTATTTCTCCCTTTGTATCAAAACGTGTCCAAAACGCCAGAGGGCGACGCAAACGAGTCCTCACTGTGTAGGGATGAATGGAGCTAAACGGCTAAAAACTAAAGTTATAATAGTTTCACACCATTTGTCCAAAATCTTTCTTTCATTTTCGAAAGTAAAAGGACGTATGTGTCTCAGTCTTGGGGGATACTCAACTTTTTAAAGTGCACATTATTGCCTGGCTTACCTCATCCATGGTGACGTCCACAGTGTTGAGAGCTGAGTACAAGCAGCAGTTATCTCCTTAAACAGAGACATATGTGAGTTTTATGTGATTTGGATTTCAGAAGTAGTTACCTCAAGAATGTCTCTATCAATGTGCTTGATGCACCTTCCAGAAGGTCTAAAAGATGGTCTACACAGGCTCTACATGCAAACAGTTGGCATATATCATATGTCTAAAGTCAATACAATTTAATTTTTAAAGTTTTGAATAAATGCAGCTTGTAGAATATTAATTAACATACATAAGAAACCTATAGCAGTAGTTAGTATCTAATTATGTAGCTACAAGGTAGTTTCCTAATTTCAGTTAAACGAGCAAGCCAACAGCAACATTAACAAGAAAAACCCTTTGAGAAAATGATAAAGAAACCTTGAGATAAAGACTCACCCCTCTTTCTCTGGATGGCACCATATAGCAAGGTTACATTAATAATCAGAGATATGAGATTTATGAATAAAGACAAGAGGTGGATGGGTTATAAACATTAAAGCAGGGGTGTCAAACTGGGGTCCTTCTGGGCCACAGCTCTGCAGAGTTTAAGGTTCTGCCTAAATAAACATACCTGATTCAACTCATCAGCTAATTAGCAAAGCCTTCATAAACTGAACTCTTAAAAAAGGGAAAATGCTAATCCCTGCAGAGCTGCAGCCCAGAATAAACCCAATTTGACACTCCTGCATTAAACAGAAGCATTAGGATCAACCAATAAAAACCAGTGACTCCATTGACTACTGTCAGAAGTCTATCACAGGTTCTAAATGAGGTAAATGTACTCAATATACTGAACGTCTATAAGACAACGAAAGTCTGCATGACATCTAGATGAGGCTTTCAGTCACAACAGGAGGGAGAGTGTCATTAATATATCAGAGTTAAACTTTTCTAGAAACAGCCCTGACCATTTGCTAGCTAGCTTCACGTCCAGACATAAATGTAGAAATAGTGCAATGATTTATTTCTGTGCTTCCGACTCATCTCTGACTTGATGATATGAAAAGTAGTGCTAACTTAAAAATAACTCTAGCTAAACAACATTAACATTAGCTTAATAACGTTGAGGTTAGCTACTAATCTTAGCTACTTTGGCTACATTAAATTTGCTGTTTAGCTTGAATAATTTAGCTATTTTATCTGTACGTAACTGTTAATTAATTAGTGATATACAATGTTTATTAGAAGCTTGTTTACTGTGTACCTTTGTCAACAGTTTGCACCCCGGCATCCACTCTGGTCCTCTGCTGCCAATCACCATACTTGTGAGAACAATAAAGCTTCTAGTGGTGGCCACGGCAGCTCTGTCCACTACCTCAGATCAGCAGTCCTAGCCACAAAAGGCTGCATTTTAGCCAGATGAAAGAATCAATACTGCAGTGCATGTGCACACAGCTGGTCAGCAGGGGGGTCGGACTACTAAAGCTCAACATTCTTTTTCTCCATTTCATAAAGTGGATGGAACGTTCTTATATTCTATTTTAGTGTTTTCACGATGCCTTGAATGCAGGGCTGTTTCTAGCAGTTAAACAGTGTATGGAGTTGCTTAGGGCCCCTGAGCCACCAGGGGGCCTCATGATTAGGTAGTGTGCAGTGTGAGTTGATGTACAGGCTCTATTAGGCCAAGTTCAAATGAAAATGTTAGTGGTTAACTAGTTAGAAACTAGGATAAGAGGTGTTAGGGCCCAGACACCAGTAAAGAAGAACTAGCACAGACTAAGGCCAACTGTTGATCACCTTCCATCAACTTACCGTCACCTCTTGTCCTCTGTGAAAATTTGCTCTCAAATACACCACAAAGACTACAGCTGGCGAACAATACGCACACATTTAGTGAGAATGCGTGAAAGGGGACAGCTCTGTAGTAGGAGGTGGTAGTATTCTGTAACTGCAGTAAACTGCAACATGGCAAGTAAAGAATATATTATACGTCTTACAAGCTCCAAGTTTGCACATTATATTATGTTTACTTTAGCATGTGTTAAGCTGTTTCTAGTTCAAAATTAATTAACGAGGGCTGTATGTAAACTTTTTAAGCAGGTAGCAATGGTGCTAGAAAAGTTGCAAGTGCATCACAAATTAAAATATTGTAGGACTGAAAAAACTACATAATAATACTTCTACAAAGTTTTAATATAAATGGAACAATTAGTCATTTCAACAGAAGAAAAAAAACTGAATCAACATGTAAAAGCTTTTTTAGTGTTTATTTTGTAATGTTTTGTGTTCATGTTTAGATAATTAATTTTCTCTTTATGATAATTCACATTCCCAACAAAGGGGCACTATTAGCACTCATGTAGCCTTTTTGAGCATTGTTGGGAGAGAAAACCTAAGCCAACAGGAGCTCATGAGTGCATGTCATTGGATTGAATCTCAAATCGTTGCTGACTTTACATATAACGTTACAGCCCAACAACTTGGGGGCATTTTGTTCTTTGTGAGGCCCTTTGTTTATAGATATTTAAAGTCTGTCAATAGTGCTTGAATGACCTAATGGATTTACCCTAACTACCATAGCACTACCACCTGCATTGCAGTTTACATGGCTATGCTTCAAGTTAGGCAGACTTGAAAGTCCTGCTGCATGTACAAATTATGGGAACATGTACAGTAAGATATGGAAATGTCAATTTTTGGTTATTCATTCATTCATTCATTCATTCATTTTCGTGTTATTTTGTGCTTAAAGACAGAACGTTAGGTGAGACGCTTTGCAATGAATGTTTAGGAGGTGTGCAGAGAGTGGTCTATGGAGAAAACAATTGAGCTTTGGCTGTTATTAATTGCATATGGATCCAGTAATACCATGTATTTGGAAAACTGGAGCTTTTCAAGTGATTATATTTTCAGTTCAGTTTGCTGTATCCTATCTGAAACAGCAGGGGGAGACACATACTTAGAATTATAATCTTAAACCATTGGTTCTCGCTTCCTGGGATGTGAACTTCATGCCATAAATATTTCGTGTTTCCTCTGATCAGCTTCCCTGATAGCTTATAAAGGGATAGATAATGATCTGATAACTTGAATCAGGGTTGATGGAAATATGTAAAGTGTGGGGTCTCCAAAGCCTGAAAATGCAAACATCTCAACTTTTCAATTCATTTATATAAATTTGAATTACCTTGTAAGAAGCATGTGACAATACTGAGATAATGTAACATCTGACCATGAGTCACAGCCAGTTCTTACAGTTTGCTGATTTCAACTATGCCTGCCTGATCCAGTCCATGCTCAAGAATGTGAAAATATCCTTCTGTTCAAAGGGTCATCGTTGGTGAATAAAACTAAAATTAAATGATCCTCATTTAAATGCAGTAAGACAATTGTGTTACTGGGCTTATGCTTAGACTGTTCTTACTCATTGCATTTACAGGAGAATCCCAGGAAACCTGTAAGCTTCAGCAGCAATCAAAAACGAACCATCTTTACTTAATCTAGTGATTTCAACACCATCTAGATTAAACTACTCTCATGTTTAATCGTCAGCAGAGAGTTATTTCCTTAAAACTGCATGATCTTGGTTTTTAATCAGGTAAAGACTGAGGACTAGATGTTAAAGGCGGGTTTGTTCTAATTCTAATTTGTTCGGTTTGAGGAATGGATTAATTTATATACAGTCG